TAGCCTTTATAATACTAGTTTTTAGTATTTTTAGGAAATATAAGGTACTTTAAGTACTTAATTCTCTTCCTATTAAACGTTTTTTAGCAGCTTAACCTTTATAATAGGGTATTTTTGCCTTTTAAATTTAATAGTAATAGCTAAAATCTCTCTAATTATACAGCGGATATATACATAAGGGGCTTATAACCTGTTAAGAGGGATATATATATATTAACTGTAGCTAACTAAGGTCTTAGGCCAGGAGGTCTGGCTAATATATAAGGTAGGTGCCTTAGGCACCTTTAATAAAAAAGTCCCGACTAACTAGTGCGGCGTAGTAACTTAATACTAGTTGCGGCCCGATCTTTAGTTACATTCTAACTGACGATAAGCGTTTAGATAAAAAGAACCCCTGCAACAAGCAGAGACTTTCACCAAGTGTTTATTGTTGTTATTACCAATAATTAAGTTTGACAGGCTGCATAGCCGCCGGGATATGCTTCGGTAAATATGGCGTCGTCGTTTTTGTCGATCATGGCAAACTCACTCCAGTGGCCGTTCTAGTCACTGCCGTTGGGGCTAGAGATGGTGGAGAAGTCACCTTTACTTTAGACGATACGGAGATGTTCAATTAAGGCTGGGGAGACGCTAGTCGAGAGGATGAAAAGAGTGGTGCGAAAAGTGAACATTATGTTTTAACGGCTGATTGAGGCTTTGGAAAGGCTGTTGAGTTTGTTTGAGTGTAGAGATGATGGTGATGATGAGAGATTAACGATGAGGAGGTTCGAAGACATTTTATACATCTTGGAGCTGCCCTCGCAACTCAATGAATCTGGTCCTTGAATTCTGACACTCAATGCATCGCGTTGCGAGTTGAATCGACTCATAATATCATGGCATGTCTATAATTGAAAGGTTCAACCGCGCCACTTACACAGCATCATGTTGATTTGTCCCGTTTGATCCATATTGCTGATATTCTCAATTGACGAGCTGAGAAGGATCAGTGCATTACGACAATGCAATGGTAAAATTCCAAGGACTTTACGCATCGGGTTAAGTCTATATGAACCTGCTCTTGGTTACATTCGAATAGCTTCGCTCTTGTTGCTTCCCTAGAGTGTAGCAGCGTTTCTAAAGTAACGAAGCAAGCTTGTTAAGGATAGCGATTATTTTCCGAGCATGTAAATAAAATGTTATCAGTAGCTTATACAGGCACTGAACTAAGTTCGAGACTTATTAGGAACTAGTCTCTCGATGCCTCGTTCCAATGGCCGTGGCCTGCAAGAGTCAATTTGCTTCACCACTTGAAGAGTGCGCCCGGTAAGTAGGTCACGGGAGCATTGACTACCAGAGAGCTTGGAGCACAATCAACTGCTTAGTGGTACACCGCATATCCAGGAGAGACGACGAGGGCACGTGGCATGCATCTCAAACCAGAGCTTGAACTGTCATGCGAGTATTGACTGTCAGGGTTCAAGATGGTACGAACGGAATTCCGAGTTCGTGTGTTCCTTGTTTCGTGACTGGCAACTCCAAGAGGAGTGGAAATAAGCGGGCAAGACCTGTCGTTCCCCGATCACGATTTATAATTGAGGAGAGTATTCTTTCACCACAGTATCTCTGTTGGAAAAGATAGGTCAGTTTGGAGACGTGAGGAGCAGCTGGAAACTGGGTTGAACCGCCAATCACTGTCGCGGAGCGTCATGTCGCGTAAATCGTCTCGGACTATATATATTCCGCTCCGGGAGCCACTTATCGCCTCCAAATCTTATCAGCTCTTATCAGCAGCATTTCCGACAATTAACCTCTTACCCTGCATGTAAAAGGAATACAGATATTAATATAAAGGCTATTCCCTGTGTGCATCTCTCTGTTCATTTCACTGAATATCCTGAAGTTTCTTGTGTCACATCGAAGATGCAATTTTATTTTACCTTTTATTCGCGGTAAATTTCGTAATCATCTCTTTATAACTATATTATCCCCATTTCCAACTACTACTCTGGCAAAATAATTAGATTAAATATTAGCATAAAAATGAAGAACTAAGCAAGAATAACTTTAGTTATTCTATTTTGCTCCAGTGCCTTCTGTATCTGGTTTCAGGAGCCGGTATGCATGAGTGCACTATCTATTTTGCTTAAAGAACGATTATCTCCTAACCACAACGATCTTCAACTCCACACACACACTCTCTCTACAATTTGATTGTAATATCAAATGCCGTCATTAGATCATAGAAGTATCAAGAGAACCTGAAATCACCTTCCGCCTGCTTAATACCTCAGGCTTTAGCTAAGATGCTTGGTGCCAGGCTGTCCTCATCACCTGTGACATATCATATTCTACAACAGAAGACCACGTCAACACCTGCGCCCAGGCCGCCACAGCCACTTTTCACTGGTTTATTTCCTCTATGGCGTCCCAATGCACAAACTTAGCGTATATCATCAGAAGAAGCTAAGAGAATAAAGCGGAAAGTGACTCATTCTCACCGATATGCCCTGAAGTTCACGAACTTTCCGATCTTAGGGACAAAGACAGTTCTGACTGTGTTTATAAAGCGAGCACGAAAGACAGGGATCTTCAAGCAACTAGTGCCTCATTTAATGTGCACTTCTTTATTAATTCTGTCTACATACCGGGATCTGTTGCAGAAACGATGTCTTTTCTTTGTTGTGATGAATTGGAGGCGCTGAGGAAGAATACAGCGATGCTCCAAGACTAAATACTTAAATCCAGGATATTGCTGTTTCTTCTAGAACTTCTCAACAAACTTCCTTCCTACTATTGCTGAAGCGAACTTGCCGATCTCATACCACCAAACTTCCCGTCTCTGTCCTACAGTTCCCTGTACCTTGGCAATTGCCCTAGTGTAAGTAGTGCAGACTCCAGCCAGACACAACTGCGACTAACGATCTAGTCTAGGCAATCCAAGCTTGCATAAAGTCACAAAGTCAGATCCCATACATAATGGCGGAATCCACAGACGCTGAACGTCTGGACTACCTGTTGGAGATGGCTTTGACCATTCATGAGGGGATTATTGAGAACCTTCACGGCAACGATGAGCTGGATAACCAGCTTGTTGCCCACCTGAAAACGGTGGAGCACTTCATCGTGGTGAAGAAGGCCCTACAGGGTCAGAACAGCGGCAGCAACAACGAGCTTGCTGCGGTTAACACCACCCCTCCACCCACTGACGAGTCACCCTCAGCCGTGAAACACGTCAACGAATATTCAGCCAGCCCGCAAAGTCACCGTTCCCTCCCCTCCCCTTCGCTTTTCTTTTCTTCACCCGAGCCACAAGGCACTCCAACTTCAGCGCCCGCACGACGACAGGCATCCCGTCGGATCCCAGGAGAAACTCGCAACTCCAGGGCTTTGCGTAAGATGCGACACGCAGTTCCCTATGCAAGCTGGGTTGATAAACCTAAATGAATGATGCCCAGAGTGTGACGGAGGGAAGGTATTACATAGATCTCTGGTATTTGGCGTTGTAAAAGCATTAGAAGCGGGAAGGGATAATAGAGGTTGCATAAGTTTATAAATACCCAAGGTAGATCTCATCAGCGTTGCACATTTTCACAGTCATTACAGCATGGAGTTTAGTTCTATAGTCAAATAATACAATCATTTCTAGCAGTAGAATAACTACTAGTATTGAAACTCAAATCAATTAATCAAGTCATATCTATTGATTTCACAGCGCTCAAAACAATAAGGCACGTCGCTGACCAAAGCTTGGTTGACTTATAACTGGTGCAAAATGTAAAAATGCAAAACAAAGGGCTCCTCCGGGGATTGAACCCGGGACCTCTCGCACCCAAAGCGAGAATCATACCTCTAGACCAAGAAGCCAATTTTAGTAATTAGATAACAAAAGAATCACTAACACAGTTGATATAGTGATTTGGAAACTAATTTTAACACTTTCCCCCCACGTCATCCTGAGAGCATTCATCTTCCTTTGAGGCGACTACAGATCATTCATTCTTCTGTCGCTTGATATAGTCTTTATTATTTCTCTTATAAGCTAAACCCTCTGCAGTTACAAACTAACCCAAATACCGTTCAAAGCCACGTGTGCAAAGATGTTCCATCAATCAATCTCTTGTATGGAGACATGACCTTGATACGCGCACGATGTCAGCAACATCTGTCAGGTTCAGTAACTTAACTAAACTCAATATCGCCCTCCTCAATCACTGCTTCTTTATAAAATTGAGAAACATGACTCCCGAGATCGCAATATTAATACAGAACAGTGAGGTACAAAGGATAGTAGCTCTGTTGAGTCGGCTCTCGAGCTTGTTCATCTCGTCTTGGGTAATACATTTCTCAGGAAGTGCTTGTCTTCGCTTCGCAGGGACTGCAAGCTTGGTGTCACTGATAAAACCGCCGTTCTCGCCGTCGCTATCGGAATCGTACCCATCTGCGACCTCCATACTACTTGTGCCGCTAACACATGTTTCTTGTTGGGATCCAACCGTTGCATGGTTAGATGCCTGCCACTGAGGCACAAGGTCGAAATAAGATAATTCCTGACGAGGCATGCTTACTGATGTCGATGGTTCTGATTGCGAAAGGGTAGTGGTATAGCGGAGGATAAAGTTGTAGCGGAATATGTTGAGAAGAAGCTGACCGCTGGGCAGTTACAAGGAATTTATATCTGTTACGGCGTCTTTGATAGGTCGGGTCTTAGTTACGTTCAGAACCTCTTTGTCCGAGATTCTTGTTCTTCTAAGTGAGCCTGTAGAATATGTTCAATAACTCATTTTACTGTTCTCGGGCTGTAGTATCTTGATTGCATGGACATGCTGTGCAGCGCTGAATTTTCTTTCGTGTTGCTGAACAGGCATAGAATTTGGTGGTTTCTAGCCCTTGCTCCTCTCACTTCCCTTACATTTTGTTCCTCTCAAGACTGAACTCATCCTATATTCCAAAGCTGGTCTACTCTCTATTTGTTGCCCTCTCACCTTGATATTCCAACGCGTGAATGGGCCTCAACATTGATGGTCATACCACAAAGCTTTTGTCCCCTCCCATGCCGCAAGCCTTGAGGCTTTGTCACGATAATTGAATACAGGGAGGGTCTGGGTAGGTGGCGCCTCGTGTAACCAGACCAGACCAGTTTAAGACGCTTCCTTCTGGCAATGTGTAAAGGTCGCAACGCACAGCCGGCTACCAAATATCGAGGCATTATTTTACTAATCGATGAACAAGAAAAGACAGCGCACAAATTAGCGCGCAGGCCATTTAGTTGTCCGTAGCCACAAGTTCCGACCTCATGATGATCTTTGGCTAGCGGGTGCTATTGTCCGCAACCGGCCCGGCGTCAACATTTGCTGTGTGCCGGTACGGGAATACGGGAGCAAATGGTAGGCAAAGCTGTAAAGGAGTGTCTTGGAACACTGAGTCTTGGCTTATATGCCAAGCAGACCCAAGGGCGAGCGAGCCGCTGCACATTCAAGAAATGCATCAAGAATAAAAGCAAGTATGGTCACCTGGCGTCAATTCGGCCATGAATATGATCCGTCAGATATGTCGCGTCGTACAACCAGAGGGATAAGAGACAAAGACATACTGTACTGTCAGCCGCCCCCATGCAGGGCGGTAGCACAGAACAAGTGATTTATGATTGACAAGTACTTGAGAAAGGAGTGTATACGTTGCGAAAAATTACTGTATGAACCCTCATGTTTGATTGATGCAATGTACCTACTGCGAACTTGAGCGTGCGTCATATCACTAATCACCCCCACTCCGTGGTTACACAAGATCCCACCGTGATGAGCCTGGGCATCGGAGATTAACAGACCGGGAATGGAAAACGGAATTGACAGGGCGGCAGGTAGGCAATTGCCGGCGCAAGGGACTTCAGGTATGCCGCCCGTCCAAGCACGGCCTGGTTGAAGTAAGGGGGTCGATCAGAGCTGAGCTTAAGATATTGCTTTTTGTAAGACTGCCCCTCCGTAAGCGGCTTTTCGTCTCTCATCTGCAAATACCGATCTAGAATCTGAGACAATCGGATAACATGTGATCGATATGTCTCAAGCCATCAGAAGGGAGGAACCGGACGGAGCGCTGTTTCGGGTATTACTCAGGGTATTGGAGGATGATAAAACCATGCCTCGACCCTGATTAATTGCGTCGTCATCTTAAACTACATCCATTACACAACTTGTTTTACAATCCATCTCTCTCTTCTCAAGATGCATTCAACAGTTCTTGTCGACAGCAAGGTGCCTGGCGTTCGGTGCCCTACTTGCGCCGCGGAAGGAAAGGAAGTCTGGGTTATTCCAGGTCGCTGCTGTGGATATTGCGGAACTGCTTGCATTGGTAAGAAATCATCTGCTCATAGGTATTCAAGCTGAGCTAATGTCGTTGATAGATTGATAGAATTCGCCAGTGATGTCTGGCTTCACTCAGCGATGAAGCATAAATGAAAGTCTGCCCTGAAATCGTTATGGGGCTGCATGTTTCTCCTTTGCATGGATCCAGACGTTGACGTTGAATTGGGAACCGTGGTATTTTGGTGACCCTGTGGTGATAACCTTCGCAGGCGAGAGCCTGGTGGATATGGTGCGACTTTGGTGGGTGATGTCGAGAACTTGACTACTTCAGAGGTTTGAGGCGCGTCAGTAAAGACGGAGATGTATCAAGAATGTTATGCGACTGCTATGAGAACTCAGTGTTGATACCTCTCTCCATCTATTTTCTATTATCCGTGATCATAAGACTTGTGACTCGTAGGGCCAATGGCCAGTTTTGTCAAATTAGTCCCGGTCCATATCAGCCTCCCTCTATCATTGTTGGCCTTTCGCTGTCAGCCTGTCTGAACAGTGTAGTACCTGTACAACGGTTCATCGTAACAATCACGGCAGACTTCCGCGTATTTGTTTCATATACTGACGCACTGTTCACCTGCTGGTCTTTAGGCATCGCCATGATCACCAGGGACTTGACTTCGTTCACAGCGACAACAAGATATCACCATCAAGCTGACGGCACCAAGCTTACTAGATCAAGCAAACTATATAAGTACAGGGAGTGTATCCCACAATGATGACGACCGCCTCACGACATGAGTGACGACCATCAACAGAATCCACAGCATCATCACCAAGTTCATCATCTGTTTTCATCATGCGAAAGCTCATTTATTATTATTTGGGGTGGGCCGATGAAGGTGAGTCTTGTGACCAGAGCGACAATAAATCACTTCATTTCCCCTCAAATTCTTGTGACGACGGATATGAAACGTCAAATGATTCCTTCTATGCAGCCAGTGAAGCAGACTCCGAGGCATCAACTGCGACTATAGGGCGATCTGTGGTTCTTGAGCCTATAGCATCTGATGTTCCCGTTGACACTCAGCAGAAGGAGACCTTTGGGGGCGCTTGTGAAACAGTGAATCCGCACCCATACTTGCCAATCAGCACGGATATCGCCCGAGAAGCCATCTTTATCTATGAAATAATGAGAGAAGGAGTCCTTGACGATGAGTGGAATAGCAAATCCTGTCTCCTTACGCGCACGCTCATCCATGATAGAGAAACCTCTTTGCAGCTCGGGCGGCGATGTGAGCGCCTCGGGTGGCGGTGTGATCCCAATTATGACGAAGAAGGTGTTCAACTGGGCGATGTTCTGGTACTGTTCACGCCAAATCGCGACTTTGTGAAGAAGATCGAGCAAGGCGAAGTCGTCTTTGATCAAGCGACTGATTTGAAGCCAGTTTCAGTGCTCATGTCGACGATCGCTCCGGAATTTTCTGACATTGAGGGAAGACTCACTGGTCGAGTCTTGGCTTGGAAGCTTTGTGGTTTTGGGAATTGTGTATGGATGGATCGTCGGGGTCGTCCTATTGATCGGGGTGACCCAAAGGTGTGCCCCAACATCATTCACTTGCTCAAGTGAGGAGCCTGTTGCATACGGTCTGGAGTAAAGATTCCACCTTTTTGTTTGAGAGAAGGGTCTCCCTCTTGTAATTATGCTGGATGACGGACAGCTTGGGTGGGCAGGTCCCTGTACGTGTTTATGATTACCGACAAAGTTGAGATGTAGTATTGACTTCTGGAATGATTTATGAGAATGACAATGAAATATGATTTTACGGAGTGAGATGAAATTAATCCCCTTGATGCCATGTGAAAATATATGAGCCAAATTCAAGTCTTGAAAACTGACTATCAATTATAAATCCAGAAACTGACGAGACGTATATCCTGACCAATCTTCACCAAACACACCCTCAACGGGAAAGTATCCCACAAACTTGAGTACTTTCGAATCCAATAGGCAAAAGCAGAACTTGCGATTTCTATACATAATCTCAGAACAATAATTAGACATGACTAATCCAAGGTCCTCCTCAAGGCTCAGTCATGTAAACAAGAGCCATTTCAAAACAGCTCATCACACCCCAGATACAAGCGAACGCCAGCTCGAAGAACCAGAGGAGTACAAAATAGGCATAGATCCAAGATGCGAGAAACACGTCCTGCCATACGCCCCTCTGACCTCTTTTTCTCTCCGCCACCATATCAATGTATGACAACGCTCGAGAATAAATCTCTCTTCGGATCCTCACTATAGTAGCTCCCTTCTGCAGTATCATAATTGTCTTGCGGCGATTGATTCTGTCTTGCATTATAGCTGGTGGTATAACAGCCCAATCAGCGATTTCTGCAGCCTGGTCCAAATGGAGACAGAGCTCTTGGCGTAATTGGTTCTTAATGTTCTGTTGTACTGTACGCCACGATCGCAATTCTGCCTTTATCCGTCTTTGGAGACGAACTGTAATTTCGGTCCAGTTATATCTTCGGGATATGAGTGGCTCGACACTGAAATATAAGAATACCCCGTAGCCCATGCCGGGCAGGTAGTTCTGACAGTAGCGCCATGCTGAGACGGCTGATAAATAGCCCAGGATGATGATCGAGATGGGACTTATACATATCATTACCATAATGCATGTCCAAATTGGTGTTTTGACGTCGAGAATCTGGAGTGCGCCACGTCGGTACGTGGAGATCAAATTGGTGTAATCCATAGTAGTCGTTGGGCTGGGTTGGTCTTTGTATGATGTAAGCTGCAAGACTTTACCTTCGGTGAAAAAGATAGCTGTCAATGAGAAATGAGCCTTGAAGTGGAGGAAAGTTGTTTAGAAAGGGCAGAGAGGAGGAAGATAGGTGGTGCCAGGAACTAGCTATATATAGTCGCATGCAAAGTGAATAACAGATGTCTTTTGTAAATAACTGATCAAGGTTAAAGTCAAAACATTTTAGGTATTGAATGCGGCATCCTGACCTGTTTGGTTGAGAACTTGGCAAGGTTTGCATAAACCCAACTTGAAGGATGAGATGAAAGTTAAATCCCATTAAGTATTTCCGTCAGGCTGACTCGAGTTTATTACAGCTAATCTTCACCACCACTGTGGCGACATTCTTCTTAAATTCTATCTCGCACGTTTGCATTCGCTGTTCTGACTTCAATCTAAAAACTTTCTAGCCAAAATGCTACCCCAGTCTTCATCTTTGGCGATATTCAAGCCCGAATAAAGACCAAATAGTTCTTCATTTTCAGCTCGAGGATATTCTCAACAGCAACAAGAAAAATACTTCCAGTTTACTAAAGTGACTGCAAAGGAACATATTGATCAAGAAGGACGTCGGTCACCTCGTGTAGAGAGCGAACACCTCGTCGGTCGGGTTGGTGAATGGAGGCTTAGCGCGTATATACTCTTAGAGACAGGAGGACGCATACAGCGCGATGTTGCGTTCAGCGAGACCGCGGCAGAGGAAACGAAAACAATGCGCTGTCAGAACAGTCGCGTTCGAGTGACGCCACTGTTTCAGCGCGTTGCGCACCAAGACGCGCTTGAGATGTTAGTGGAGCCACGACCTCAGAGTGCAGAACAGCAATTAACCATGAACATCCAGCGACTAATACAAGCTTTGAGCGCGAATTGGTATTGAAAGTGGGTGCGATGAGCGATATATGACTTGGACTACGACCTGAAATTAATCTACACCTTATCTCGCCAACGTGCTCAGACATCCGGGCATTGCAAGCAACCCCACTGCTAATATACTAACAACAAACGCTTCCAACCCAAGGCAGTATATGCACAAGCGTTTTTACTCCGGCTTCTTCCCATACACAAGCCTCAATCGACAGTAAGGATGGTATTTGCCTGACCTCAACTCCCTTCGAAGCTGCGAGCAATAAACCGTAACTTCATCCTGCGACCATCCCAACACGACACTTGCCATGTACAGAACAAAGCCCTCTAGATCCTGGTCCATGGCAGCAAACGCAAAGTTTCCAATTTCTTGCATCTTAGGATCTTTCGGCCAACTACCGATAGGAAGCTGCAATTCCAGTTAGTCAAAACTGCTTGCTGTATGTAGTAGAGTCGGACAGTTAGCAGTGCTTACCTTGAAATCCCGAGTCTCAATATCTGTGAACCCGGCATCTTCCATTCCCTTCTTCTGCAAGTCATCATCAAGAATGGTAAAAGTTCTACCAAGTCTCCTTCCACCTTCTATAAAGAATTTGCCCCATTCGCTCATCGCACTACCCTCCTTGACAGTATCGTCATCACTTTCAAGCATAGCTGACGCTTCGAAACTCTCTACCCAGCCGCCTGGCTTACACGATCTAAAAGCTTCTTGGAATAAAGCTGACCAATCACTGATAGAACCGTAGAGGTATCGCATGTAGATGAAGTCGAATGAGTCGGGGGAGAAGGTCCATGGCTGAGTGCAGTCTTCGATCTCGCTGCGTTTTTCAGCTGATGGCTCAATCGAGTTGTCGCACAGACATTATGGCGCGGACGAACTTACAACTTGATATTCGGGGGAACCCAGCTGGGTTGAATTGGAGATATGTCGGTGCCAATCACTTCGGTTTGGGGATGCTCATCGGCAAAGTCACTGGACAATCAGTCAAAGACACCACGCCGTTAGATTACACGTACATTGCCCAGATTCCTGTCAACCGATTATATGAGTATGTGCTTGGTTCAAAAACTGTTATTTCATACCTGTTCCAGTACCGACATCAAGGACAGACTTGACAAGGTCAGATATGTTATCCTGCACAATCGTCGGAAGCTTACCTTGATATCATCCTTCAACGGCGCCAAATGAAGTTTGCCATCTAGTGTAAGAACCAGAAAATGGTGGCTGAAATGCGTCAGTGTGTATCTGAAGACTTCCCAGCGCCCTTACATAATATCCATCGCCTCATTCTGCTGAGCATCATTCGAGGCCCTGCGCGTCACGCGTTAGCTTTATGCAGTAAGCAGCCAAACATAACTCACCAATATTCTGCATTTCCTCTTTCCGAGTGATAAGTGCGTCCTTTGATAGTTCTATAGTTCAGGATACTCGATGTCATTGAAGCCGTCGACGACTCTGTATCAACACCCAGTGAAGAGTCGGCATCTTCATCCTGCTCATCCTACAAAACGCGTCAATCCCAGCTCCTTTTGACTCTTCTCAAACATACCTGCGCCAATGCCGCCCAGTGTCCAGCATCATGCAGCACAACCTCACTCGCTCCTGATGAAGGAGACTTTGGTGACTTCTTCGGGGACGAGGCTTTGTCACTCATGGTGTATGACTTGGCGATGAGGACTGCGTAGGAAACTAGTTGGTTCTCGTCAAAGCGCGATTTTTGACAGCCTGCGGGGTAGACATGAACGTGTCTCGGCTGGTTGATGTTGCATTGATTGCGGATCATTGCCGGGTGATGTTGAAGTGCCGGGTGACAGGGATAAATATGATCTGATTTGACAGAGACCGAGCATCAATGTGGACAGGACACTGCATAGAAGGTCAAAATTAGCAAAAAGAGTGGTTGACTGAGATTACAATGCTAGAATATATATACTCTATAGAACAATTAACATTCATCTCAGTGAAGCAATGCCCTGCAGGCTTTTGACTCTGTCTTACCCCTTTTCTCTTCTCTCTTCTCTCTTTTCTCGTGTCCATTGGGCTTTGCCACATTCTGAGGTTTTTTTATGAAGAAAAGTAATCTGACTTTGGGAGTATTAATGACTGACGGAAAAATACAAGTCCTTCAATAAGACGGCATGCCATGATGAATTGTATGGTCATTCCACAGCTCTTTGCCATGGTTTGAGACGCCAACGTCATCTTATACTAACTAGACCGTTTACGGAGGTATTTAGTATTCATGAATAGGTAGCTATCACTATACTTATCTACTAGATTTTAAATAATCTATAATCGCTAAAGTTTTTTAGCCCTAATTAAGTTACTTACCTGTGAGACTACTTGTTTATATTGCTGGTCTTGTTCGTAACGCACAGTATGAGGACTACCCTAGAAGTAGTAAGTTAAGTATCTGGAGCCAAGTAATATAAAACATAACATAAATTGTAGGACTTTTATTAGTTCCTTTTTAAATATGACTCTATTTTATTTCTAGATTAATTACAGTGTTCCTTTTCTTATTAAAAAAAAACAAAACAAAGTAAGGGCTGGCCAATGAGTTACAGTTCCCAGAGACAGTCAGACAAGTAGGTGGGATAAGATAAGATAAGCGTAAAGCTTACTTATCTTATCTTATCTGCCGCCATCCAAGCCAATCAGGGCTAAGTAAGCGGGGCACTTCGTCCACGAAGTTCGCGTCAACTCCATACACGGTTCTGATGAGTTGAAATAAAACGCGTTTCCATCGCGGTTCCAGACTCAATTAGAGATGAAAGTGTTTCCACTTTTGGCCAAACCCATCAGACTGGTTCTGACGTGATGACGCATCTGTAACGCACCTCAAACCCCTGCATCCCTGTCACACATTGCCAAACTCAATCGTTTGACATTCACGTCTCAGATCTCGACAGTACCCGTTTCACATCCCATTCGCTTATACACCAGCAATATTACCACGAACTATTACCACCAGCCAAAATTGCATCGGTTATACGGCCCGCTAGACTGTCTCATCTGTTCGATCGGGTTTGGATTCTCGGATCAAGCTGCTTCCTGTTTCTAAAAGCGCCCAAGGGGTGAATGGTATGCACATTTTCGTATTAGGATCTGCTTGGAAAAACGGCGAGATTGACTTTTGAGAATGCCATTAAAACGATTGCAAAGTATAAAGGGCGCGATGATACCCTTTAGTCTGTGCTTGTTCATCCAGCTTTCATCCAATCTCATCTCTGTTTATTGTTTCCACGCTCTGTGAGCTTCTTGTCTTCTTTTCTACTTATCATTCCTTTACCAGGCTGCAGGAACAGTCATTCATTACCAAATTTGCTATTTCTAATTGCCTATTACTCTCTCTATCACGATGAAGTTCTCTGCCGCCATCATCACTCTTTCGGCCGGTCTGGCCACTGCGACACCTGTCTTCCGCAGCCCTGCGCCGGGTCGCCATGTCTCTCGATCCATCAAGAAGCGACAGGTTCCCCAGGAACACTCTCACGACTTTGTCTTGACGATCACTGGAGAGATGCTCAGGCTTAATAACCCCAAGGAGATTCAGGACCCTGTTTTTGGCCTTCTGGGTGACGCCGCTGCAAAAGAGGGTGCAGGAAGCGTCACCAACCTCGCTTGTCTGAAGCAGGAAACTGCTGATCAAGCTTTTACCAACGCCAAGGCGATTGGCGATCTTCGTGGTATGGCTGGTGCACTGCTCTTCCAGGCTATTGAGCGCAACACTGCTGGTGTTGGTGTTGCTAGCAAGCTGTGCGATGAAGCTGCCGTCAATCCTGAGATTGGTGCTCTTACACAGCATCAAGATGCAGCCTCTACGGGTGCCGGTGCTATCAACAAGGCTGTTACCCTTGAACTGGCGAAGCAGCTGGCTGGTATTGGTGCTGACCCCAACTTGGCTCTGCTGAGTGGTACTTTCGCGCCTGGAGATGTAAGTACACATGTGTGACTACGTAGTGAATCTGCTGACAATGTTTAGACCAGCGACACCACCGGAAAGGGCAACTCCTGTGATGAGGAAGAACCCGACCTAGGCTGCATCTTCTCGCAGGGTCTCCTCGTTATGGATGCGACAGAGGATGAGATCTCTTCTGCCGTAGCTGATGTTACACCAACCTTCACCGGAACAGGCGGTATCTTCGCCACCGACCTGGTTAACCTGGCTTCATTCTCCGTCGCCTCTGGCACCGAGGTCGCTGATCTTGCTACTATCGTCAACGGAGCCGCTTCTGGTGCTCCATCCGCTACCGACGCTGTCAAAGCCACTGCTACCGCTGAAGCACCGGCTGCTACCAACACCGGTAAAGCTGCTGAGAACACCGCTGGTGCTGGTGCTGGTGCTGGTGCTGGAAAGGGATGCAAAGCCAAGTCAAAGACCGCAGCCAGCGCAACTCTGACTCCTCTTCCTAGCCGCACATCTGGCGCTAGTACCAAGGCCACTGGTGCCGCCAACAATGCCCAGGGTGTCAACGTCCAGACCTTCACTGGTACACTTGGTGGAGCGCCACCCCCGGTCATCTCTTCAGCTGCCGAGAAGCCTTTCTCCGTCAACGGAAACACCTTCAACGGTGAGAGTGTTGCTCTCGGCCGATCTTGTGATATTCAGCACAATGCTTGTGCGGACGCTGCCAACTCTGGTCAGCTTTCGGGAGGCGTTGGACAGTGCGAAACCCAGTTGGCTGCTTGTCGCGCTGCCATTCAGTAAGCAAGGAGATAGACTTTATCGGTTTTAGCTGTAGATACATACTTGAAATGAATCACGACTTTGTCTTTGAACATCTGTCATTTAGTCTACAATCTTGTGCTTTAGATTACCTTGGGAAAGAAGGCTAGTAGTACTCTGAAACAGTGGCCAGAAGAGCTCCTACTATTGGAATTCCCTGGATTTCTTCAACAGAAAGAAAGAAGGACATTTATTCCACAGATCATAACCCGGCAGCATTAAATTCTAAGGAGATCTATAAACTCAAGTTATAATGCACATTGATAGCAAACACACAGGTTCGACTATTACATTTTACATTTGCATCGGACGAATCGTTTTTAATTTTTTGTTTCACCATATCTATATCCCCAACTAAGTTCGTGTGCGTCTAGTACGATTGCCTGCCCACCCTTTGTACCAAAAAGACCCGCGAGCCCTGCCTTTGCTCTGGTCCCTTCCTTTTCGTGACACGATAACTAATCGACGACCGTATTGGCCCTACCTCAGGCCCAATCAGGGTCATCCATATCTCGAAGCACGCGTCCATGGCTGTCCAACCACACTCCCTCACCTACCCAAGGCTTGATGTCCTCATCTTTGAAGCGTTCAACAAGTCGAAAGATTATGACTTCGTAGCCTGCTCTTGTGACACTGCTGAAGTCTGGTAAGAGCTCGTTGAATAGTTTACACGGCAGATTAGTGATTGAATCCTTATAGTCATAGAAGTTTTCAGAAGGACAGCTAGTCATTTGCCTTTCAACATGCTCGGTACGCATGCATAGCAGCTGCAGATCTAGGCATCCCTCAACTTCCGTAGCAACACGATCATGGATGAGCTCCCAGTGGCCAGTTCCGCAGGGTTCGCCGGCAATACATTTGGAAGCATTGTGGTGTCGAAGGGTGAGTATTGGGTATTCTACTCCCTCATCGTCTAGTTCCGCCACTGCGGCCCATTGGATAAGCTCACTAGAAAAGCAAGATCTGCCCGGTGGCTTAGGGCGAACCCATTTATCCTGTTGAAATCTTGCGTCGAGTCCATATTCGGTCCAATCTTTTCCCCCATCATCTTGTACTGATGCCTTGGACGGCCGTGGCTGTGATTGATCGTCACTAATTTCGTCAGAAGACTCCGAGCTTGCTAGATGTTCGCTCCTTTTTTGAAGCATGCGATCATCCGCAGGCGCAGTTGACAGAGACGCAATGGCTGCTTCGATCTCGGCTAGTGTCTGTTGCAAGGCGGACTTGGCAGACTGAAGTTGATCCATATTTCAAAGTTCGGCAAGTTAGGTAGCGGGAGAGATTCAGAGACTGATCTTTGGAGTGGGCTTACCCGTGATGTTGGTAATGGAGGTTTGGTGAAGATGGAGGTTTGGTGAAGATGGACTGCTGTATGACAGTGGGTTTTGACGTATTTTATAGTTATATCTGGAAAACTAGTTCGGATTATTATTCAACATGGTACTCACTGGGATCTTTTTACGACTGAACACACTGGGTGGACAGTTGACAAGTTTAAGAAATAACGGATGTGAATCACCGAACAGACCTGGAACAAAAATGAAATATTATACAGGTAATGTCTACGCGGCCGCTGGAGTTGTAAAGAACGCTGTTTATAAAAACAGGCAGTCTTATTCTTCAGTTATTCGCAAACATTTGATTTAAGCGCCTCCATCGTTCAAGACTGCAATCACCTGTGCAACTACCTATAAAACTCGTTTTCAATGTATGCCTATTACCGTGAATATTTCTGGGTTCATTTGTTGTGCCTTTGTTCAATTTTGCGAAAGAATGTGGCAATAAAGCATAATCAAGAAATGAATGGCTGATAGAGCGATTGCGATCGTAGCAAAAATAGAGATCCTTGCTCATGCTGTCTGTTTGCCATCGGCGGCGGTGTTCTCCACGATGATGCCACTTGTAGCTTGTGAGAGTATCGAGCGGATTGCTATGAGACCATGGCAAAGAAGCTCAGAAGTGATTAGCGAGAATGATGGAGTGAATTGGCCCTTCACAAATCAGTAGCCAAAATGACAAATGACATCTCTTTTCTTGTGATTTAAACTACACTCCTACTATCATTCATAAAGGTTGTCATCTCCACCAGCTCAGCCGTGCTCGACGAAGCTTCCTGTTGCGCCTGAATTGGCGTTCCCTTGTAAATGGTACTCTCGGTATGACGCGAGGAACCCGGAGTTCTGCCCTGCTGCCTGGGTGCCGATGACCCTTGGTGAGGATTCCTGGGGCCTGAGTCGATTGAACTTCCCAGTCTTGGGAATGCCTTGAGGATAAGCATTCGAAGATCGGGAAGACAGACACACCATAGACCAACATTGATCTCAATGACTGACCAGTAACAGGTCTCGAAACTGTCCCCTGCGGTATGTTAGATGTGCCTGAGGGGAAATTGGTTGATAAACTTACATGTTGGGTTCTGAGAGTTCCCGAAAGCAACCAAGTACCGCAGTCGTAGAATACTGACAATCGTGACGCTACGAACGTTAGTCGTTGGAGCAACAATGAGAGAACATAACCTACAAAGTACCGACTGTGAACATGATAGCTACAGCGAGCTTCCTCTGCCACTTCATTTGCAACTGGACCAGCTGCCAAATTGGAATGGCCAACATCCAAACGTCCAGAATGATACCGACTGCTGCGATGGCCCAGGCCAATGGCTGAACCCCCAGACAGTGTCCCTCATGTAACTTATCCCACCCTGTCCAGTAGAAGCTAATCGGCCGACATTGTGCAATGGCCAGGATGTCAAAGATGACCATGCCAAGAGCTGAAAATGCGATGGTACCCCATATAATACGTTGGACGGTTACGACGGGGAAGATTCGGAGGTAGAAGAGAGCGACACAGATTTTGGTCAGGAAGACGTCGGAGGCGTAGAGGGTTTGGCCAATGTAGAGGTACTGGAACTGTTAGAAATGTTTTTGAAAGGAGATGAGCGGCATACACAGAGATAGCTGTTGATCGTTTCTGGGCTAAATAGCCATGAATCTCTCCCGAGACCATTGCCAGAAACTATTTGCTGTCAGTGCTGCTTCGCTTCCACCAAGTGCGAGGAAGACTTACGACCATGAACACAAACAATAGTGTTCCCCAAATCGAGTAGCTATCGCAATTAGCAGGGCGCTCTTTTGACATTGACAAAGACTCACAAAGACTGCTACGACAATATAATCATCCAGCCTGAGCTTCCTGTCGTATTGCAGCTTGTGCCAAAGCCGAAGGCCAACTACAATCGCCGTGATCGCGATCAACGTAATAGCCAAAATATCGAATTGCGCGTGTCTGTCTCGTACCGGAAAATCACAAGCAACTGAGGTAACATTCAGCGTCGCTACAATCGTTAGCATTTACCCAACACCAAATCCGCCATACGCACCTAATGCGTCCCGCGGGAGGCATTTCTTCTGAACACAGCTCAAAACCTGCGTCTTGAGTTTCGGGTCGGCGCAAAGACACTGGACGTCAATGCCACAAGTCGACGTTGATACAAGCTCGACAAGACAGCTCCCCTAGCAGAAATCAGCATTTTGCGGTTGGGATGAGCAAATAAACATACAGCGCAGTCTGGTATCTTTGTTAGAAAGTCCGAGACATCATCGCAGAACACTTGGCATACGAGACACGCCCACGTCACCAGCAACAGCAGCAGATGCATGCTTCAGTTGATATGCAGCATGGTGGGATGAGAGAGACAAGCTGTGATATCGACAGGGGAGGAAATACGAGGGAATTTGAGCAGTCTTTTGATTATTGATCTCCCACTAATCTCACGTGGCAAGTTTAGTCTGGCTCGAGAGATTGCCGATACAAATCCTTAGCTGACTCCACAGAGTTTGAGGACTTGTCTCCAGTAGATTTGGAGCGGAGTCATGTACAAAGGAGGCCCGAGGGGGACCCGAAGGGGAGGACAGAAACAGACTAACTGTTAAGCTGGCATATTGTGTATTGAGATGATAAGTGTTTTCTTCCAGCTTCTATGGAGGATCGACGAAATAGCGCAAGCAAGGACTGGTGACTGATTCGCGGCAATACATGAATCGCCAATTTGGGTAAACGCGTCTCGGCAGTTATGGACCCTCGAATGCTAGACAGAATGTTCTCACTGCTCTTCTAGGCAACATCTTTCTGTCGCTCGTCCCAAGCTATGCGGCCACTAAAGATCCGCGATCCACTTAGCAACGCTTATTGTCAGAGCGGTACGGGGTGAAATTATGCGTCCGAGTCAGTGGCGCCAAGTTCGCCGAATTGTTGTGACTTGTTATCATTGCCGTGTTGCCGGACTTGCTGACAATGACTGACGTGAGCAATGGCCTGTCGTGGTTTCAATCTTCACTGTGGACTACGGTAGATCTTGGTCTTTCGCTTTCACGACACTTTTCCATCACCGCTGTTGTTCATCGGCATCAGAATTGCATTCCAAGTGGCGTCATACCATAATAGCCGCCACAAGCACGGGCAGCCAGCGGCAAATGAGGTCCCCCAAGTCGGCATTTAACCGACCAATGCTTTCTTTAAAATCATATTTCGGGACATTAGTGAACTATCAGAAACTTAAATCTATTTGTAAAAGGGCCCAAAAGGGAAAGCAAAAGACAAGCTTGGCGCAGATGGTTTAAACAAGCTTGCGGGAAATGGTCCGCTAGAGTCTTCCGCTGTCCACAAACGGAATGCAAAGTGCGGCTAATGACAGTCTCTAAAGTATTTGTCACTGTTCTGCTTGCAAGGCCAAGCTAGTGTTTCTCTGCTGATAGTTCAATGAATGATATCACTGCGCACTGTGGACCATGGCTAATTGTCCTTCATTGCATAAAGACGTGAACGGGGACCAGTTCAATTACAAGATTTTAGATCTTTGTGTATTAACTACTATTATTAAGCATCTACGGAAAAGGCACTCGACAAAAGGAGCGGAACAGATTACCGTTGTTTACCCAGGCTGGAAGAGGTTTCGTGGTTGTCTGTCAAGTACATGTAAGGCCAGGGCTTCACAACCAAGCTCTTTGTATCTCATCTCAGGGAATATGCCTGAAGAGGATGAGCGCAACGTGAGTTACTACAAAGACCGGGCCCAAGACCTTGTCACTACATGAACCTGCCTTATTCTCTTGCCTCCCGGACCCTTCGAGCCATTTCCTCTCTCCTACTTCTGCAACGAACACATTCCATTGGAACGAAACAACGACCGCTATGAATACCGACAGTGCAGTGTCTCCAGTCGTTAAAGAGAATACCTTCTGCGCAAGGATCCCATTCGTGGAAGCTTCCCATGTCCTTGCCGCAGTAGCATAGCTTCTCATAGTAAATTACAGTGCACATCGTGAGCGATGGGGTTCGAGGATACTGTATTGGGGGATGTAGATGTTGTTTCTCTCTAGACGTGGGCCTTATATTGTAAAGGATGTTCGAGACAATTGAAAAGGCGAAAGAGGTCTGCTTTATATATAGTCCAAACTCCGAGGCTGTGATGGAGCCTGCTATGGACACATAGGAGATTTTGTGGAGGATCACTTGTTCCTAATCACACCCTGGATGAGGTGTCACTCTCTGATGTGTGCCTGATCTAAACGGCTTCTTTATGATTGAGAGCCTATAATCACCACGCATAACTTAACGCGACAGACTGGGCTGCGAATCGTCAAGACACGACATGAAGTGAAGCGCATACGATGAGACCAAGCGTGATCAACATTCGAGGATTTCTTTTCATAAGATGATTAACATTGATGCCGGTACTGATGCCGGAAGGGACTGAAGAATATTCTACATAGATGCATTCTTGGAAAGGACCCAGAAATCTAGCAAAGAGTGGAAAGTATGTAGAGTGCGTAGAAGAGGAGGTTCAACATCTGGAAACAACAGCCAATCAGCTCCAACACTAAATCATCATCACCTAGCGGCATTCGAAGAACACATCTAGGCACTGTTAACGGCTTCTGAACGGGCAATGTGAAGCCACGGGAGAGACCAAAGAAGAACAGCTTACTAAACCCGAACATATAATGAACATGAGATGCCAAGAACATTTACAGCCAGAAGAATAAACTGCCGTCCCTTATAAAAGACGTTGGTTGTTAGTTGTCTCGGCTCAGCTATCAATTTTGTTTTATCAGCGATACCACTGACCTGGTCTCCCCACAACAAGAACCCATCGTCGCATCTACGTCAACCGCCCTCCGATCATCACGAGACGCATCATTTCAAGATGAGTTTCTACCGAACGACCACAAAGTCTAGTGCGACTCCAGGATCTCACAGTTGGAGTGAAGACGTTGAGGGCAAGATGATCTTGGATTTACAGTCAACGACAAGGACAAGTACGTTGTCAAATTCGAAGGACTGCGAAGGCTTTGACGAGCAACTACCTTCCAAAGAAATGTTAACATACTTTAGGTTGTCATCGATCGGTGAAGAACTCTATTTTCTGAAGGCCACCCGGATCACCTCCCATATTCTTGCTCGACGCATCCACACCGTATGGTTCACTGTAGAATGGAACGACGGCCAGGAGTCATGGGAGCCTGAATATGCGCTCCAGCGCTTACAGCCAGGGCTGGTCTATACTTACTGGAATGCAAAGGAAGGGGGCCGCACAGGGGCAACCAAGTTCGATTTATACCACGTCTTTGCGATTCTCGACCATGGCAGCATGATTAATCATAGCGGGAAGCGTGCCAGGAAGAATTGTTATAAGATTCAGTGGGTTGGATATGATGAGAATGATCACAGCTGGGAGCCAGCGTCAAAGGTTAAGATTCTTGTTCCACGGATGAAGGAAGAGTATGATGAGATGCATGGGCTGTGAATTCTGAGAGATGTGTGTACCGTGGGAGCCTGCGTTATCGGGTATAATGCGGACTTCCTGATAAAGCCGAGCAGAGATGTAGGAGAATTTTGATACTTCATGAGCATAAGAAGATTGGTACGGTAGGTCGATAGTATACAGGTAGCGGCAACTAAATTGTTTTCGTTATCATAAATAAACATAGACTAGACCTGCTGAAGTCTGTTGCAAACCTCAAAAACACCAATTCATATCACCAGTCACCTCAGTCATGTCATCGATTATTATATGCGGTGGAGCCGCAAGCGGAAGAGGGCAGGAAGGTGCAGTCCCATCTTGAGAGGCAACTCCTATGATGTACGCTGGGGCAATTATGTGTTCCACTCTACACAGCACTCAAGTCCAGTGGTATCACCGACTGTGTATTCTTGGCCTCGGCGGTCTAGGTCACCTCGCTGTTCAGTATGCTGCCCCGATAGGGTGCCATGCCACAGTCTATTCATGCTCATTTGGCAAAGGATCAGTAGCTCGAAAGCTGGGAGCGTCAATTTTCCAAGTCATGGGTCCCATTCTAGTGGTGCTGCTAGTTAGGGGCTCCTGACTGGAGCTAAACAACCACATTAGTTCCAAGACCTGTCGCTTGTTCGATGCGGCGGTATGATGAGTGCAAGTACTGTGGATTCATCCGAGCTATGATGCTCATACGGGGAGGTTCTGGTGGACGCATCTCCTCGTCATCACTTTGGCCCCGCATTAGGCTGATATGCCATAGGTGTGGAAGTAACCCCTACTACAGTGAGGTTTTGGGGAAGATACTCTCACAAGGTCTGAACCCCGAAGAGAAATCTAGGTTATATTGCCTAAGCTAGTAGTCTGCTATATGAGAAACCCATCAATGTAGTAAAGGTCAGAAGCCCGCGTCGTTTCTCCATACGCAGATCATGATGTAAAGCTCGTCTTGGCTAGCAATTCAGAGGAACTTCCATTGTTCTTACAGCTTGGGCCCTGGGCGAGGCTTTGGCTTAGGGGGCGGAGGCATTGGGTTTGGTTGAGAGGGCATTTTGGTAGGAGCCGCGCTAGAAATAATATGTATATCTTTGAGGAGTCCAAATGAGCAGTATGTTTAGAGGAGGAGTAGAAAAGTATTTGAGGTATTCGCGCGGCGATCAGGACTTATATAGACCTGAAGCCTCTGTGACTCACTGACACATGGCATCACGTATGTAACAATCACAAACTAAAGATTGTTCACAAACTATTCACTGTAAGTGGCAAAGCTGTACCTTTTGTGACACGCAATATCACAAGCGATTAATATTAAGAGTGAAAAGGCTACTACTCTGACAAAACTCCCTTCATTACGTACCTGCCTCAGCCGAGGTGCTGCTTGATCTCTTGCTGCGTCCATTCCCAAAGTTTTTCACGGGCGTCCTTATCCTGACTCAGCTTGCTTCCCTTGCCCGCCACACCAACAGGATAGTAGAAAACGCCACTTTCAGCCTTGGGATCAGTCGCTGCCCATAGCTGATTGAATGCACCCTTGGCAGCATCAGTAGCGATCAAGCTCAAGAAGACCCGGGCGATCGTTCCCAGGATGAGACTGCCGCCGATGAGCGGTGCTGCGAGGTTTGTCTGTACGATCCCTGGGTGGACGCTGATGACTTTGATATTGGGGTATCGCCCGGCAAGGGCTGCGGCGTAGTGGACGTTTGCAAGCTTCGATATCCCATAGCGCGATGTCGTAGAGAAGTTGGACATTGTGGTCTTGAATTGATCGAACTGGTATGGGTTCTTTGGAGACATGGCCTCTGCCGCGGAAGAGAGGAAGACGATCCTAACGTCGGGATTGGTCTTGGCAGTTTCTTCGAGTGTAGGGAGGAGGAGATGGGTGAGGAATGCATGGCCCATATGATTCGTGCCAATCTGGATCTCGTAGCCTTCCTCGGTGAGACCCTCTGGCGTCATCATGATGCCGGCATTGTTTATGAGTACATCGAGTCGGGAGGAAGAAGCTTGGAATTCTGCGGCGCCGGACTTGATGCTCGATAGGGAAGCGAGATCAAGAGCGAGAAAAGATATGGCCTCGGTGTTGGAGCCTCCTTGTCGCAGGTCATTAACAGCTTGCTCGAACTTTGCTTTGCTGCGACACGCGAGGAAGACCCTGGAAGGTTCATGCTTCAGAAGCGCCCGAGCGGTCTCAAGACCAAGTCCCGAGTTCCCGCCAGTGATGAGGATGACTTTCCCCTTCTGGCTGGGGATATCAGTGTCTGGAGAAAATTTGACAGATACCATTTTGTCGTTTGTCTGGGACAGAATGAGGACCGAGCAAAATGGTCGCAAGCGCGTTCTAATATATGTAGCGAGGGCGGGCTCGGAATCGTGGGTTGTCCCGTATATTTCTCTTAAGTCCGATGCTAGGCTGTTTCGGCATGGAAGTTGCATAAGGTTGGATGTTCGGCAATTGAAAACTCTATTGATGGTGACATGCAAGTGGGGGCTAATAATAAAACAGGTTTGTGGCCACTAAGAGTTTTAAGGTCGTAGGCGAGGTCAAATGGCGTACCAACGAAGTAACCGTATATTCAAGACCTACGTTATTTCGTGGTAGAATGCTGCAACGATTCGGCATCTGATCTCAGCACTACAGCTCTATTACTTACAAGCTGTGAAACCCCATTCTTTATAATGTTGCTGACAGGCAAGTAATTGGTAACCATCTTCCTTTTGTTTCATAGTCAATTTCCATTCTAGAAAAGGACCATGAAGGAAAGCAAATACTCCATGGGAATAAAGGTCAGGATAAGCCATTCTATAAATGGTGATTCTTCGTAGAAGCATGGCACTCGCGGTTCAATGACGTGCCCTACCGCAGGCCATGCAAAGCGAGCAATAGTACTAGCATCAATAGCCCGAGAAGCTGAAATAATAATTGTTACATTTTATATACCGAGAGACGTATGACGTCGTAGCTAATAAATGCGTCGATAGATGTCGATCGAGCGAGCGATCGCCACTTAAATAAATGTCGGCCAGTAATGGACCCCTGTCAGAAGCATATCTTATCTTCAGCTCGCCCAAGAGATGTAGAACATCAGCCCGCATTTTCGCAAGGCGTTGCGCAAGGCAGCTTGAAGTAAGCACAAGGCCACGTCCATTTGTACTTTTTAACACAAGCCCCAGCCAATGTAGACTCGCATTAGGCAACCTGCATTATCACCTGCGAGAGATAAAAACGAGGGGTAATCATTTTCAACACGCACCGCTCTCTTCTTCACATCCCACAGAGTTGAGACCCCAATACCGCTTTTTCCAGATATAGTCGCCTAGCAAATATTACATGCTCTGCAGTCCGAAACCCATCGTTACCCGAGTCTTGGCCTTACTATCATAACCTTTCGCCCGACAGTCTCAGCTATGGCTGGTAACTGGGATGCAAGTGCGATTTCCGCTGTAGCGGCTTTAATCGTCGCACTTTTTGCACTTCTAGTCGCTGCTGCTCAAGCACTGCAGCAGTACTTGATCACCGGCCAACTCATCCGTCTTTGCGATAGCGTCGTGTTTGGTCCTTTGCCAGGTCAGGGCTACCGCGTTTGGCAGTTCTCTCAATTTCGCTTCCGAGTACTGTACTCTATTCCCCTGATCAATCTCGAGGCCGATCTGTGGCCTAAGGAAAGCCCACATATCAAGTCTTATGCTATCGGGTCAGATATGCTGCCCGATCTCCAACCAGATTCGTTGATTGACTACTCGGCTTCAAGCTCGTCGGTCGAAATTATGTCGGATTATAGAGTACATGTCCACAGGACAGGTACGGCGGGTAGAAGGTCTCAGATGAGCAGCGAAGCTTGGAGTTCCTCAGATCGCTCCCGTTTCACTTACTGGGGTTCTCTGAGACTTTGGCTGCGCCGCAAGTTTAACAGGAAGGGCTCAGGCATCTCGCGGACGAGCAGCGACTCCTGGGGTCCCCCGACTCCCCCCGACTACTCTTATTGGAACTTATTGAGGATCTGGTTACGCCGCAAATTTGCGAGGGTCCGATCGCTGCCAGAAAAGGAACGGCCAGCCTCTATATCCAATGACGCATCCGTGGGCGAGGCCTCCTGGGTTTCATTTTGCAAAGCCATCAACAGTTCGTGTGGAGGGTCAGTGAGATACCGCTCTGTCACTTACGACGCCGACCGATGTCCCTCTGATCTCGTAACGGCACCGATGCAAGTTTCCATGAGGGACATTGCCGTCATGGGATTGACAGCGGGTATGAAAATCACAGACTGTTCATTCAGAGACAAGTCCATTTCGATGCAAGGCGCTATCGGCACAATTACTAGCTCCAACCATCCGATTCTCGGACCGATACTCCATTTCACTCCTAGAGCTATCACCTCACCCATTCCTCGCTTGCTAGCACCATGGAGTGACGACGACAGAGGTGTTGTAAATCCCCATTGGCTTTCTCGAACATGGGATGTCTGTACTGTTGCGAAAGTCTATTTTGGCTCGCTCAAGAGACGTACGACTCGACGGCTTGACGACCGATGGACTAGTTATCAAGAGCCTGGCCAGCACTACAGGCATCAGGGACACAAAAGAGCTTTCAACATGGCTGGGATTGTGCCGGTCGATGCGGATCAACATAAAAAGCGAAGGAAAAAGAAGACAAAAGGCAAGAAACCAGGCAAGACAGGACCCGTGTCCGTGAGTCGCCGGCCCCAAGACGGGAATTGGTTCATCATAGAGCCGCCTGTGCCCGCTCAAGCCGCTGCTACAGAGGCCAATGGGAATAAGGAGAAGGTTCAAGACCAGGGTGGGACTGGGGAAGGCAATGGAGAGTATGCGGCACCAGTGCCTCAATCTGCGTCGGCCGCTGAACTTCACTCAAAGGAACAAGATATGCACCAGGAGCTCCCTGGAGATGATTTAACCTCTCAAGAGGCCCGGCCTACTGTTCAAGATCCAGTGGAAGAAAAGGTGCCCGCAATTCATCCAATCGAATCCGGCAACCTACCTCAACACGGTGCAAAAGGAAAAGGGCATAGTGATGATGTTGAAGAAATACCTATTCCTGAGCCATTGGTGAAAGGAAAGCAAATAGCAGAAGAACCAACCCTGAAAGAAGAAGGTCAAAGTCAATCTCGGAGCATTTCGTTGGAGCCTGACGAGTTGTTTGTAGCCGCTCCTCCGAGCAGTGGAGAGGGCTTCGCGGCCATTTTTGGTAGGCCGGTCACTCGTCTCCTTCTGACACAGACATCACACTGGGATACACTGCCACAGGAGAGTCGTCAAGACACGAGTAATCGTGAGCCAGATATACGCCAACCTCGGAGAAGAGTCACGGTAGAAGATGTACCAGATAGCGGCGATGAAGTAGCGTCTGAGTCTGGAAGACCGCTGAATCCACAGGTACTGGACCGAGGTCAAGCGGCGAAGAAGCGACAAGAAAAGAGGAACAAGCGCAGCCGAAAGATACAAAAGGACAAGGCTATCGTCGAGGAGTCAGGGACTAGTGATGCTAGATCCCAATTCCTACTAACCTACTCGGGAGAAGGACCAGCCTCAGAGGCAACGCCGGAAACGAAAGAAGATAAAGCTCACGCAAGGGAAGCAGAACGACGATGCAGACGAGAAGAGAGAGAGATTGAACGTGACAGACGAAACAAATCGCGAGGCAACGTCGTCTCCCTTAACCGCATGGACATGTATTGGTTCTGCCAAGTGGACATCTACCAGGGCTTCTGGGCTACACCGTGGAGGGCCGATGCCCCTATCGATACATCGCTAGTCGGTGCCGTCACTGTCATTCTAGAGGCGTTACTGGGGTTTCTGGAAGAGAATGTCAGCTTGGTTTACTGCAATCCCAGCCGCTTCCACACAACTCGAGACTGGATCACACACGGTGGGATAACATACCCGGCGTACGCGAGTAATGCCCGCGGTGGTATTATTGCGAGAGGTTCATACAAGGGTGTAAAGGTTCCAGCGTTCCAGTACACTGTTCCAGCGCTCGAATTGCTGTATTCATATGAATGGCAGGTATCGAGCTACCTACACGATCAAGAGCAGTACTGTGAAGACCTCAATATCGAACTGATGCGAATCGACGCTTGGCTCTCGTATGTCGGTCGCACAGAACGAATCACAAACGGGCCCACAGACCTATTGAAGGGAGCACCTGCACTTGTGCAGCTGCTGCAAGCTGACTTTGAGGTGGATTTCATGAACATTGACCTTTCGGCCAAAGAGGGTGGTCATCAGGACATACAAGGGTTAGCTGATAATGTGATGGACTTTCTTACAGATGAGGAGCTTGATGAGGCTGAGCAGTTATACATACTAGTCGCAATGCTCCGTGCTGTCAAGGTATGTCAGTGCGTGTTGGCGGGGTCGGATACTCGTGAGATGTATGAGATTCTTACCAAGGATGTTCAGGCACATCTTGTTTGAGATTCAGCTGCGATAGTCGAATGATAGCGGGAGTCGTTATAGAAGTTGGCAGTGATGCTATTGAGCTTTTGAAAGGAAACAGTTTTATTGAATTGAATTGGACTGGGCTCTGTCCTTTTGATTCACGAGTCTGGCGATTCTTCGGCTACCCTACACCATCATGATTTTCTTATCGTTACTTCCTAATCGGGTAGTTTAATCGATAACGAACCCCGCATCATAACAAACCATGGGCTTCAGATCTCTCATGATCACAACTCTCGCTGTACATCGCATTCTTCAACGGTGTTCTAAAAATCTCCTGAAACCAAAGCAAAGATGAAATTCACTTTATTCTCCGGCGTGTCCAATCAACTCTCCCTTCCAGAAAACCCACAATTAGAGCCCTTTGAAGTCATCGCTCTTCCTGGCCCCGACATTTGGCGGACTCCCTCTTGCGCTGGAGGCCGCGATGACTTCAACGGCCCCATCTACGCAACCCCCCTCCCTCTGAGCTCATTCAAAAGCGCCAAAGTCACAATCTCCTCCGACTTCCCCGGAAACTACTCTCAAGGAGGTCTCATCTTATTCATGCCCGAAAACATCCCACTCACCCAAACTGATTCCCAACTGCGCCTCGAGGAATCACCACGGACATGGATCAAAGCTGGTATCGAGAAAGTCGACGGTGAATTTTTTGCTTCTGTCGCTACTGCGAAACCGTACTCGGACTGGAGTTTGGTCAGGTTGGGGAAAGCTGTGCAACTTTCCAGATGGAGAAGGTGAAGGGATCGCTTTGGATATATGTTACGGGGAGGGATGGGAGGAGAACGCCGGTGAGGAAGTTGACTTGGGTGGTTGATGTGGCTCCTGAACATGATATTTGGATTGGCGTTACGGCTTGTATGCCGAAGGGTGATGAGAGTCAGAGCGGCGGGATGTTGAAGGTGCAGTTTCGAGACTTTTCCATCACAACCGAATAGTCTCGCGGCGTAAAATCAAGGTACCATTATGGAAACGAGTGGTTGTTGCCTGTTTTACTGGGAACCAACATATCGATCTTGTGATCCAGAGATGGGCCGTTGAGCCGGATGTTCGATAGATCAGGGCCTTTTTGCCAGGCTGACTAGGGTCGATAGTGCCGGGAGAGGTGACGCCAGTGAAAGCTCAGACTAGACCGAACAAGGCGGAGCATATGCGTTGCGCACGATCTCCAAACGTGATGTTTATTATATTACAGCCACTGGTAGAGGTAACAGCGCGTCTTCAGAGGAGACGCTGTTTCAGTGCGCAGGCACTTGAAAACTTTCTTGCCACTGTCCCGTCCATCAATGATAGATATTTCCACCAAGAAACACCCACTTACCCAAGAGTAAACATACACCTTTTGTTCCATGTTTCTTCAGTTCCCAGTATTTCATTCCTTTGCATTACCTCAAAATCAGATACCCATAGGCTTTTGTTCTCGTACATGCTCCAAGCTCGACTATACAGATCTAACATTACCTTCAAGTGTTAGAGACAATAAGAATACTGTTCGAGTTGTGTCCTCGAGTTACATGCCTATTCGGCGCAAAGATCTGGGACTTCTGATTGTTCACGCCAGTGGGACTCAGTGTTCTTGATATGTGCCCAAAAGCTCAAAATGTAATAGTAGATAGCCACTGGTAAGTCAGCGAACTGGGAATCACATAAAAGGGCTATGAGACGCCCACCACGACAGACGAACTTCTTTTAGCATCATCTAGCACAGAATTTTAGTCAACTACACTCACCTTCACACTAACCCGCCATGAAGACCGTCCAACGTGAATTCCTTCCCCTCTTCATCATCTTGATCTTGGTATTCATCATCCTCTCTTTCCTTTCCTTCTGCATCACCCTCCTCAAGTACATCCGACTTCTTCTCCACCTCTTCTTCAGCGCCGTGGACTACTGTATCATCCCCTTGGGTGGCATCGCACTCCTCTTCTACCTCTTTCGTTCAGCTGCGTGAGTACCTCCTTCACTGGTACCGGGATTGAAGAGCCATGTCCTTCAACGTGCCCTTTTTGCTGGGCCTTTTCACTGGGTTTGTGTTTGTGCAGGCATTGAAGTCTCCCCATATCTTTTTTGGACACTTTATCAACTTGTTTTTCAAGTGGGCTCTCTTGGTGCTTTTTTATCACAGTCTTCGTCCGATTAAGGAGGCCCTGCAGCGACTCTTGGGTGCGAGAACTTGAACGCGGGGTGAGGGCTAACCGATGAATGTTGTCGAGGATTTAGGTAGAGTAACGTTCAGCTCCAGTGTTCCGCCGGAACAGAGGAGGGAAGAAACGTCAGGATGTAAATCCCAAGGGATAAAAATAGTTAGGTAGTCTAGCCTAACCTAAGCAAATTCTTTACCAATTGTATTGAAGTGCTCTTATTTGAAGTTGTGATATCTTATTGACTCTTGAGGCTCGCCTAATGCACAGATTCCTTTGCGTAGGGGACAGAAAACCCCAAGACTAAACAATGGATTGAAATTATGTTTACTGAATTCAGGCATCTTTACTCTCAAGTGATCCAGCAATAGCCATTACCAAAAATAAAGAAACTGCACCATTATTCGCCCTCATTCGCAGCCGCTACCTACGCCTTGGCACTGGGAGCAGATACATTTCGTGAGACCTGATCCTCCGTCCATTCCCAGAACCGTTTCGCATGGCCCGTTCCTCCTTTATCCTCCGTCTTTGATCCTTTCACCATGGCCGGGAGTGCATGCCACAACCTTCCCCACGGCGAAACTACAGGCCCATCAGGTCAGCGAATCCTCAAAAAGCATCTCGACCACTTACTGAATCTGCCCGAACTCTCAAGCGTAACTTTGGGAGAGAACCCCGCAAAGATATTGACATACCCACCATAGTGCGACGGATAGAAAACAGTTCTTCGGAGGATCGAAGTCAGAAACTTCCCCTGCGTGCGCCAGAGCTCTGAGTCGAGATTGCCGGGGTTGAGCGGGACAGAGATGATACCGTCGCCTTTGTGGCGGGCAGCATATTCCGTCGCGTGGTAATAATTGCCGAGCTTGCTAATCGCATATTGCTGAAATAGGCTCTGCTTGTTAATATTCTTGACACGTTCTATGTATTTCTTCGTGGATGTCCAAAATGCAGCTGTTGACGATGCCCAAACCACGCGAACAGTTCCTGGTGTAGATGTCTTTGCAGTATTAACCAATACAGGCGTCAGCCTCTGGGTCAGAGCAAAACTGCCAAGACAATTGACTCCCAATTGTAGTTCGTAGCCTTGCTTGGTCTTGGAGCCGTATTCGGGGAATCCAACGCCTGCATTATTAAACAGAACGTGAAGCTTATCTTCCCTGCTGATAAATTTTGCAGCAGCTGCTTCGACACTATCCAGGTCGGCGAGGTCTATTTGGAGACAAATCAATTCCCCGTGTGATTCGGGAAAGGCAGCTTTGATCTCGTCACGAGCCTTTTCATTTTTCGTTGTTGTTCGCGCGAACATGTAGACTTTTGCGTTCTTGCTGTAGACCATCTTGGCGATTTCTTTGCCGACGCCGGTATTTGAGCCTGTGATGGCAATTACCTGGAATTTGAAAGCAAACATCAGTGAGGGTTATGGAGGTGATGATGGACGGCGACGTACTTTGCCCTTGAGATCGGGTAAATCATTTTCTGTGTATTTTGGGCTGCCGGCGAATAAGCTCTGACGCACAATGTTGAGTGCTGCTGCCATACTTTCGATTTCGTTCAGTCGTGTTCTGTCACACACGAATACATTCAAGTGATTGAGTAAGGTGTAGCAGGCCTTGCTATTTATTAAATTCACTGATGGCAACGCGTTCAGTCGATGATGCGCGCTTCCAAGGACATAATGATCGACAGAAACACTCGGAAGCTAATCTTCAGCGGTCTAAGCGCACTAAAAGCGCTGAAGATGATTCGATAGCTATAGCAAGATGCACCACTAGCTCCAACTTTAACCGTGTGCTTGGACCGAGGTATGACGTCTCCTTCCAAAGCATCGTCGGCCTTGAAAACAATTGGGTCTTGGTGTCTTCAATGATAAGATTGAAAACTTCGTTGTAGCTCATAACTTGCAATTTAATTGTGTACAAATAACTACTGCAGCTTCAATACATCCTTCAACAGCGCCAGCGCCCCAAACAACTCATTATCGTGATACTTCCTCGCAACAATCTGAAGATCAATCGGCGCGCCAGTAAAGTCCGACTCTTCCCATAGCTTCTTCACCTGTTCACAAGCCTCACTCAACGGCTCGTACCCACTAGCATACTTCTCATTCCCCTCCACCTTGACAGGTGTAGGAATGACAACACCAGGATAATCCACAAGGTTGTACAGCGATGTATAGTTCCAGAAGAACGCTGTATCATGAGCTGATGCGGGTCCAACGAATGCAGGTCCAATCAGTATATCCACGTCTTGGTCTTCCCAGCTCTTTGCAAATGCCCAGCGAAATTCATCTCTCTCCCGACGCATGAGACTCAAGTCAACGGCTGTCTTCATGCCAAGTGGCTCTGCATCTTTCCAGATCCAGTCACTTAGAGGATGAATGGGCTCCCCTGTAGCTTGAATGGCATCTCTCGATGGCTGTCCACCGTCAGGCCAATACATGCATTGAATCTTGGACCAAGCGCCCGCCGAGTCAAACACCTTGAAGTCCTTGAGCTCAATAAGATCACTGTATCTTGGATCACAGAGCTGCTCTCGAGCCCATGCCAGAGCCTTCACGACTGGAGGTTGAGGAACGATGAATCCATCGTTGTTGACAAAGCCGATCTTCAAAGGACCATTGATAGGAGTCTTGAGACCATTCCAGGGGATAGGCACTAATCTCGGGTCCTTTAGATGGGGTTTGGACGACAATACGCACTGCATCAACAGGTCCATGTCTCTCAAGCTCCGGCACATAGGCCCAGCTGATGCCAGAACAGTCAACTCAGCTGGAAACGGCATTGCATCGAAACCTCTCATTGGCATTGTGTACGACGTTGGCTTGAATCCGTAAATACCGCAAAAAGCTGCAGGACCACGGATACTACCGCCGATATCAGTACCAACACCGAGGACAGAACCTTTCATTGCAATTAGGGCTGCTTCACCGCCGGTAGAACCACCAGCTGAGAGGTTGATGTTGAAAGGGTTGAGAGTACGACCCCAAAGGGAATCAGTCTCAAGGTGCATAATAGTTTGCGGCTGATTGGTCTTGCAATAGAACACAGCGCCAAGACTTCTCAGAATCGCAACCATGTCACTATCTGTTGTATCCTCCCTCAGGCTCGCCAGACAGCCTTGAGAAGACAGTGTCCCAGCTATGGCCATGTGTTCCTTAATGCTGATGGGCAGTCCGTGCAGAGGACCGATGGGTTTCCCGTGCTTGGCCATGTACTCATCAAGACCTCTCGCTTGAGCAATAGCTTCATCCATAAGCCATTGCGTTAAACAACAGGTGAGTTGATGTGCGACGATAGCACGCTTGGCAAAAGCAGTGGCGACTTGAACAGCCGAAAATTGACGGCTGGCGAGTGCCTGCAGTAGACCAACAGCATCATAGTCTTCTGTGATGCGAACCTCGTCTGCAGTGAGGATGCCGCAAGAAGCAGGGATTCCGGAAACGTCAAGGGGAGGACTGGCGATTAACTCGGCAGGGAGGTAGTACTCCAGAGGGACTTTGGCTTTGATGGTGTTGAGAAGAGCAGCGCGTCTAGCTTCAAAGGCAGGTGTTCCGCGAGGAACAGGCTTTGGCTCAACAGTGAAGGAAGTGTTTTGCTCAATATCATCGGTGGCTCTCACTTGAACAATGGAGGCATCTTTGATCAGGACTTGTGGCTGTGAAAGCGGAAGAGGGGTTGGTGAAACGACGCTCATGGTGGATTGGGGGAAATATGGATAAGACTTGAAGTTTCTAGAGATAAAGAACTAGGAATGTAAAGATACAGACAAACTATAGATTAAAAGATGGAGTATTAATACTACTTGCAACACAACGGGACGATCATGTCGTTCCCCTCGCCCGCTCAACATTTGAATCTGAGTTTCGGAATTGCATTCCTAGTCTCTTAGGGTAGGTCGACGCGAGGATCCGTCGCAAATACACATCATTGGGCAGAATCACCAATCTAACTTAGCTCAAGCCCACGTCCCACCGTGTTGATAAGACTGACCATTCACGTGTATTTGCGCCATCATGTTACATGGATGCACCACTAGCTTATCCGGCCCCCCTCCTGATTAGCTCCTAGCGGGGAAGCGAAGCTCGGAAACGAGATAACTGCTCTACCTATGCTATCGCTCGGTATTCACAGCTTCATCATATCAGCTGTATCGTTCTCTGCTTGGTAGATGGGGTATATATGGGCAGGCCTCAACGCACATCTGGATCCATCAGACCATTTACCAATCCGCTTTTCATTTCATCCTCAGCCTACCAACTATGACTGAATCCATGAGCATCCCTGGTACAGTCCACCTTGTGGATCTGGACCATGACATGCATGCCCGTCATGCCAGTTCATCTGCCGACATTGTCCTCAACCCTACTCCATCCAAAGACCCCAATGATCCATTGAACTGGACTCCCCGTCGCAAGCTACTCTCACTGATTTGCCAGAACCTGTACGTCATGAGGTGTACCTAATCGTGTGGCAAGACAACTAACGATATGTAGATATACATGGTTTGCTGGCTTTTCAGTGTCTACCGTCTATTCGGTTCTCGTACCCCTCTCTGCCCAGTCTGGCGTTTCCATCGCCACTCTGAATGAGGGAACGGGATATATGTTCCTCTTTCTTGGCTGGAGTCTTCTCTTCTGGCAGCCCTTCTCTTTACGCTATGGCAAACGCTTGACTTATCTGATCTCTATCCTTGGTGCGATAGTAGGTGACCCGCCCCGTAACCCTTGTATACATTTTCTGACATATCTTTGCTTAGGGCACAACTATTTGGAGGTTGGTTTCGATCTTGCACCTGATATGTATCCTTTGACTAACGGGTCTTTAGTGCATATGTCAAGAGCGATGGAGAGTGGCTAGCTAAGTGCATTATCCAAGGTTTCTTCATTTCTCCCATTGAAGCCCTTCCTGAGATCTCAGTCACCGACATCGTAAGTGCCCAAACCACTCACCGAAGCCTCTGCTGATGTCCTTAGTACTTCACCCACGAGCGTGGTACATACATGGGAATTTATTCGTTCACCCTCGCTGGCAGCAATTACTTCGCCCCAGTTGTTTGTGGCTTTATCGCCGATTACCAGGGCTGGCAGTGGGTCTTTTACTGGCCCGCTATCTTCCTGGCAGCTGTATTTGTCTTCCTCTTCCTCTTCATGGAAGAGACGAACTACACCAGAGAACCTGTTTCTGAGGACACTCCTGAGGCTTCTTTCTCCCAGGGTGAGATCAAGAACGAAAAGAGTGGTTCTGTAGCTGCGGATACACCAGCTGCGGAGAACGGCGAGGTTTACAACACCCCAAAGACCTTCATCCAGAAGATGTCGCTTTGGCAGCCATCGCCGGGACAAAGCATGTTCAAACGATCATGGCGATCACTGAAGTATCTGACCTGGCCTGTCATCTTCTACGCCGGTTTCTCCTACGGTTCATACCTCATCTGGTTCAACGTCCTCAACGCCACAGCGTCACTCATTCTCTCTGGAGAGCCGTACAACTTTAGCTCTTCCATGGTTGGCCTGAGCTATCTTGCTTGCTGCGTTGGCGTCATCATTGGAGCTCTAGTCTCTGGCAGACTCAGTGATATTCTGACCATCAGGCTTGCCCGACGCAATGGTGGCATCATGGAAGCTGAAAGCCGCCTTTGGCCATTTGCCACCTGTGTCGTCGTGGTCCCTTCTGCGCTTATTCTCTGGGGTGTTGGAGCTGCCCAGGAAGTCCACTGGTTTGGACTTGTCTTTGCGATGGGCTGTCTTGCGTTTACTAGCGCCGTAGGCGTCACTCTGAGTGTCAACTATCTCATCGATAGTTATCATGGCATTAGTGGCGATGCGATCGTTACTGTCATTCTCATTCGAAACACCATGTCTTTCGCAATTAGCTATGGGTAAGTCTCATTTCAACAAATCTCGTCAACAATTGCTAATCATCTGAGTAGCATTACTCCTTGGATTACTCATCTTGGGTATCAAAACTGCTTCATCTCAGCAGCCTTTGTCGGAATGGCAGCATCATCTGCGTTTTTTATCATGATTGTTTATGGCAAGAAGTTTAGAACTCGTAGTGCTGAGAGATATTATCAGCTGGCCGAGGATGGTCAAGGAAGCCACTGATTGAATGATGGATGCTAGTTACTTTCTGTAGTGTAGCGTAAGAGAGAATCGCCGGACTTTGAAGCTGTTGAAATTTGACAGTACCTAGATTAACCCAATATGATATTTGTTATTGGTGTGCCATATGTACCATCAGTTTTAGCTCCCTTCTAACCGACCTTGATAAGTATCCCAGTTGTCTTGATAACAGCATCCAGCCGATCGAGATACGCAGCAAGGAACTGATTGGGCGAATGGGATCTTGATATCGGCTATCGTCGTGCCAAGCGTATGGCAGGATAACTATCCATGTTAACCCCGCATCCCAACAACTCCACCAAGAAGCTATCGTCCAGTGATGTTGGAGATGATCAGCCCCAGATAACGCTGACGCACGCCAGGAACCCATGTTAACCTGTTTAGGTCAAGATGTCCCTGGTCACACGCCAACGTTAAGATTCAAATAGCGCCTGAAGCTCCTCCCTTCTCCAGTGCCGACTCCAATAAAACCTGCCCCCGCCCGCGATTTCCTGTCTGTATCCTGACCAGAGATGCGATAATGACTGATAAAATCAACACTTCACGGAAGAAGTTACGCACAAAGACTGGTTGCTTTACATGTAAGTCTACAGTATGTGTCCAATCGTTTTGCTGACAATCTGTAACCAGGTAGACAAAGACGAAAGAAATGCGATGAAAAGTCCCCGATCTGCGACTTGTGCCGATCATCTGGACGGAAATGTATATGGCCATCAGCCAGCGATTTACTCGATCGTCGTTACTCCCACCATTGCAATTCACGGCATCAAGACCGGAGCCTGAAAGGACAATTACCCGAACCCGAAGATGATGCTGAAAACTCTTTGATACCCGGCGGCAGCTTCCAACCCATCCAACATATTCTCTCCCCCTCCAGCCCATCAACCACCTACGAGATAGATTCCGTCTGTCCATTAGACCTCCTATCGCAAGCCGCTACCGTACACCGCGTGCTCTCCAACCACCTAGAGCTCCGCGTCTCAGACCACTTCTCCGATAAATACTTTTCCCTCCTCCTACTGCCGGACTGCTACCGCGGATTCCACGACGGCTGGCTCACTGAGATAAAGCAGCTCATGGTCACTCACAAGAGCCTATACTACTCAGTTTTGGCTTGTGCTGCATCACACATATTTCTCTCCGACTCCGTCTGGGAAATGCATCCCGTTGCATTGTCCTATTATGCTGAAGGCGTGAAAGAACTTCAGCTTTTGCTTGGGAAAGTTGCTCAATATGAGAACCACGACGCGCTGCTCATGTCTGTGATGCTTCTTTATCTCCACGGGGTATGTATCCAGCGATCATAATACAGAGTCAATCACTGACAGTAACAGTGCTTGGGATGGGGCACGCGTAGTGATGTTGCACAGCACGTCACTGCTGCGACTCGCATAGTCACTCTGCGTCTGCTTCACAAGCCGGCCGGCATCCAACGATTGTTTGACAGACTCGCCCTCGAAAGTGTCATCTACCAGCAGTTCCTACTCTCAACAGGTTTATGGTCAGAAAGCAGTCAATGCGACTTTGTGTTCGACCCGGATTTCTGGGATGGCGTGGAGAAGCTTCTCGACAGGTCAACACTCTTATCGGGAGCGCCCTGGAATGTTGAAAGCCCTGTCTTAGGAGTACCGTTGTCCTTCTTTCGTACAGCCATGATATTGCGGGATTGCTACCGTTCAGGTGTCAGTCTGGAACCAGAAGTCCTCAGGCGGATACAGCAGGAGGTACAAGGCTGGGAAGCACAACTCTGTGACTCGGACTCGGAATCTATTTACAGCTCCACGGATACCGTTAGAAAGATACCCAGCTTAAAAATCCGGGACGAAACATATTTGTACGCGTTAGTTGCGTCTCTATTGCTTGAGCAGATTAGTGAGCATGGAAGCAGGGGGACCATGCCATCGGTGGTATCCAGGGATAAGTGGCAGATAAAGCTATTCCTAAAAATCCTCAAGAGTCACCAAGGCAGTCGAGAATGGGCCAGATCATATGCGGGCAATTGGCCAGCGTATACTTTAGGAATATTTGTTTCTGCCCCTGAAGATAGGCTGGTGGTGAAGGAAGATCTTGAAGCTTCGTGGGAGGTCACAAGAATGACCTACGCCCTTAGATATTGCCGTGACCTAGATATTATTTGGAGGTCAAGATAGTGATAGATGACGAAATCCAGAAGATATGTTTCTGTGGACCATTATAAATCACTGGCAGGTCCCAAGTACATAGTCTCGAGATACACTTCATAATACAGAAAATAAGTCATGCTTCTATATCTACTTTTACTTTTATCTAAATAATGACCTGGTGAGTGGCAGGCTTCTCATCCTCATGGCCAAAGATGTTGACGTCCCATCGAGGCTTGTCTATTGAGATAGTCAGCACTGAACTTGTGAGTAATCACTGAGGTTGAACTTACTAGCGACATAAGGAACGTTGTAACGGCGTTGCTCCTTGCCGACCTGCTCGATCTCGCGGATATCGTCCTCGGACAAGTCGATCTCCTGGAAGTTCTCGGCAATACGCTTAGGTGTAACAGACTTGGGGATGACGCTGTGGCCACCAACCTGGGCCCAGGCGAGACTGTAATCTCGTTAGCTATATAAGGTAGTGTTTCATGCTGACGATGACTTACAGGACTTGTGTAGGGGAGACGGGTTGGCCCTTCTCCTTGGTCAATCGCTCGGCGACGGCCTTGATCTCGGGATAGGTGAAGAGGAGGGGAGCGTTGACCATGTTATTACCGAAAGCCTGGACATAAATTAGCGTCAGAATCACGAATTCATTTGCAACAACTTACAGAGTATGCGGTAACGTGGATGTTCTTCTCCTTGCAGTAGTCAATGAGATCCTTCTGGATCAGCAGAGGGTGACGCTCAATCTGGTTGACAGCAGGGACAACTCCAGTGCCTTTGATGATTGCCTCAAGCTTCAGGTTGTGTCAGTTGCCTGTATGAGTATAATGGAGGGAAACTACTTACGTGCTCCTTGGTATGGTTGGAAACACCGACGGCGCGGGCCTTGGACTTGGGCAGCTCGGTCACGGCTGTACATGCAGAGGTTAGCAGAGTGCATCAAGATCCAAGATTAGATAAGCCAAACTCACCCTTCCATGTGTCGACGATGGAGATGCTGTCATCGATGACGACGTCACCATCGGGTTGGTTTCCTCCGGTGAGAGGGAACAGATCCTGACCAATAGGAGCTCCCGAGTTCTTGAAAGCAACGGGGAAGTGGATGAGGTAGAGGTCAAGGTACTCAAGACCAAGCTCCTGCAGGCAGTCATCCAGAGCAGCCTCAACCTGCTTAGGGTCGTGTTGGGAGTTCCAGAGCTTGGAGGTGATGAAGACATCCTCACGCTTGAGGCCAGGGATCTCAGCAAAGGACTTCTTCAAGGCCTCGGCGATCTCAGGCTGGTTTCCGTAGACCTTGGCGAGATCCAAGTGTCGGTATCCAACCTTGAGAGCCTCGTAGACACCCTGACCGACCTCACCGGGGGAGGCTTGCCATGTGCCGTATCCCAGGAGACTGCAGAACAATTAGCATATTCTTATCGACTCGCTTTGCGGTTTAACTTACGGGATCTTGGCGCCGGTGCTGAGGGTGAAGGTCTTTCCTTGAGACATGGTGAAAAGTAGTGTTTTTGAAGGGTATATGAGATGAAAGAATGAGAAAAGAAAGGCGGGAGAGTATTTATGTTCGAGATATTTACCTACACCAGGTGAACCCCGCTATCTTGGTATGTATGACTGATGGATCTATGAAAGGGCGCTAGAGCGCGCTACTCGAAGCGCTCCAATCTTGGCTCTTTGTGGCCGCCTCCAAGCAAGATCACGAGCGGGCTCCCCGCAGTGGAACTGGACGCAATATCCGCCTCATTCATGTTCACAGCCCCAAAGTTTGAAACTGTCAACCGGTCCAATTAGAGATCTGCCAAGGCATAAGTACTAGATGGCCCTCGAGGATTTATATAATTCGCCCGGCTGGTCAACAGTTCTGCCCTTGGCGATCAAAGCGCACCAACCTTGTTAATTGATTGCCTTCAGGGTCAAAGATTCAACATGCCAGAGACCGAGTAATAAAGGGCCATGGCAATCCAGCAGCTAACAGAAGCTCGTCATCTAGCATTCTCCCACGTTGCAGAGGAGAAACAAGAAGGCCATTGGCTTCTTATCAGGACCTAAGTCGCCGCCGTGCGATACAAGATGTACCCTTGATATTGGTAGTTGTATACCAAGTTTGCCAATTATGCCTCGAGCATATGGCCCCTCAATCTTTTTTTCTGAGTCTCAAATTTATTGAGCATCTCTGTTGGTGCGCAACTATAATGACGCACTCTGGATTGGCTACAGTTACTGACTAGGTCGTTTTAGTACTAGATCGACTGGATCAGAGATGATAACGATAACAATGGAAGTCAAGAAAAGTGCAATGTCTTGTAAGGGACCTGAATACGGGACACATGAGTAAAAAAGAGGAGACTTGTGGTGTTCTGTTGACCCTGGTTACAATCCCTCTTATAAGTTGAGAATGAAAACTTTTGTCACCGTCGCTTCCCGAAATGAGTATCAATCATACATCTCATGGTCCTTTGCGCATACGTACACTAACACTGGGTTTGGAGACTTAGATACCCGGAAACGGCTTCCATGGCGGATTCTATAAATCAGAGGTTGGCAATCTGCAAATTGGGTTATAGACACTCAATTTCTGGGATTTGTCTATTCAGTAGACTCAACCAACCGTCCGGTTTGCTACTCGTCCCGGTCTTTGGGAACATGCGCGCGCACCTCAATCTCTACCAGCATATCATCGCGAGCCAGGCGCGGAACCCCCAAGGCTGTCCAGGTGGGCTGGTGATTCGGGCAATATTTCTTGAGGCAGCGAACCATTGTCTGGATTGCCTCGTCATTGCAAGGCAGATGATGTGACCTTAGGAAGAAGACATCCTCCCAACCACGACTACCTGCTGCTTTCAATGCGCATTCCACGTTGTCGAAGGCTTTCTCTATTTGAACCACGATATCCGAGTCGATCTTCTCTGTCTCTCGATCCCAGCCGCCTGACGATATTTCAGCAAAGTCGCTTCCATTTCCTGGATCGAAGCGTACCTTGACCAGAACATTCAATAATGTCTCCAACACGGACGGCTTGGCTGTACCAAAGGTCCTTCTTGGCCCGCTCGCCGTAGCCTTCGTAGGACGTGTAGGTGAGGTGAGACATGTTTGTAATAAAGCCGTTTGCCGACTTGATTTTACTGAGAGGAAAGAAGTTAGAGATCAGATTGATTACGAATAAAGATCAGTGAGTCACTGAGTTAGATCGCGGAACATAATGCCGAGGTGGAGGATGACAAATACGCTTGAGCGAGCAATCTTGATAGACTAACCATACCTGGAATAGTCAAAATCTCCTAGCAGGCTCGTGCAAACTTGACGGATACCCGACAGTCTTGAGCAAGAAACATAAGTTAGTATAAAGTTCTACTGAGATGTAATAACCTTGGCGAAGTGTTTATTTTACATAGGATCGAGGCTCTCGGTTTCGGCCCTTCGCGCATCTCCTTGCATTCTCTGATCGGGTCTTTGACTTTGCCTTGTATATCACAGATGTCCAGATCCTGAATAACCGGGCTTCTCTCGAGGCTAGAAGCTTGTAACATTTGAGACCCGACCTGGAGCTAATGTCGGGCAGCTAATAGCATCTATTTAGGGCATACTGAATGCTCTCAATTCGCTTTTGGACCGCTCGGTCCTTCGGAATTGTCATCCTTATCGACAACCTTGACAACGTGGATTTCGCTAAAGTTTCTCCTCATATGTCCAATTTGGATCAGAACCTCAGAGGTGTTTCACAAATGCCTGGAAATAGGTTTTGGCTTTGTTTCTTAGCCTGGTCTGCCTCCTACCTCGAACTCCAAATTCTATCTGCTATAGGGAAAGAATAGCATCATTTATCACGCAAACGTACATTCACCAAGATCTACTATAGTCTCTTTGATCATTGCTGTAAGTATGGTACCAAAGCCTTACTATGCATGTCCAAGCCAATCAGTTCAGACTATAGAACGGTACAAATGTCAAGTTTATTCCTACTTAAAGGCACCAATAGTCAAGAGCAACGTCCAAACAAATATACGACACCTTGGTGAACGCGTCCGTCAACAAACACAGCCAATCTGTGCTCCAGGTGAGCAAGGTCTGCCGGGCTGTCGATATGATGGAAGGCACTCAAGGAAGGCCAGGGATTACGGGGGTACCATTTGAAGGAAGACCACCCGGGAGAGGAGTGGGCAGGGGAACAGGCAGGCCAGTAGGGATGCCAGTTGGCAGACCAGAGGGCAAGCCGCCAGGGACACCAGGGATACACTTTTGGATCCCCGCAACAATCTCGGCGAGACTATGTCCTGTTAGTTGATGGTTTATGCCACACCAATAGAAGATCACACTTACCAAGTTGCGACATCCGTAAGACCAGCGGCGCCGGTGGGCTCGAGGTTCTTGATGCAGTCCGCGACGCTGGTGATACTCTCAAGACAGGCAGGGTCGATGGAAGAAACGGAGAGCTTGGGCGTAGCAGCTCCAAGAGCAAGGGCAGGGAAAACAAGAATGGTGGAGACCTTCATGGTGGTGGTTTGAATGGATCTTTGAGATTAAATATGTTGATTGTGAGTGCTGATGATTCAGTAATGAGAAGGGAAGATGCAGCCGCTTTATAGTTTTCCATAGCTGTTAGAACTTATCCAAAATGGATTACATGCACCATTAGCCACTCCCTGTAATGCTACCAGACGTCAGTCTTGTAGTGAGATGAGTCAGTTCTTCCTGGGTTCGGCGCGTGTAGAACTGAAGCCACAACGCACGATAGGCGCGTTAGATGCCATTACGGTACCAGGATCCATGGATTACAGACGTTATGCAGTAGTTTGTCCTGGAAATTAACATTCGCTTGCTCCACTGAGTCAAAAACTTGATTTTCTGGTATGCGATCGTCTGGAATGGTAAACTGGATGATTATCTTTAATATTTTCAGCCTCCACGTGGCTGCCTATGTCATGGCCCTCTGACGGAACAAAGACAACACCGGTAGTTGGCTAGTACCCGCAGAGATTTAGATGGACTTGGGCCTCAATGGAGAGCCCTTGTGCTACGTTTCTCTACTCTAATTATTTGTTGATCTGGTTGAGCAAGACATACCTCAAAGGCAGTCACCGCTTATTCGGAGTTTGTAGTAGCATTGTAGACCATAAGCCGCTCGCTACTCACGGTTTAGACCTCTCCCAGGCACGGAAAACCAATTGTTATAATTCCGCCCCTAACTAGAATAATGTTAAATGTAAGGGTCCTGAATGAACATTTCCACGGACCATTGAAGCCCGTCGCGGCAATTCGATTCTGAGACACCGAGGAAAAGACTGACCATTCGCTTCGGCATCATGTAAGACATCAACTGCCGCAACATAGCTTACGCAGATAAAGTGATCTACAAACTGTCAGTCATACCTGACTCATACGGACCTAATTGTTCGCTGATCCCTCCTTAGTCACATTCGCGAACGCGAAAGGGTTTTACTGGGCCACATCGATTTAGTAGTAATGTTTATTCAATTTGAATTATATACAACCCTTCAAACTACATTATCTGTCATCAGGTACAAGAGAAAACCGACATGTCTAATTACCTCGAGCATATAACGAATCAAGACACAATGCACCGGAAAACTGCCTCTCCTCTAATCCACTGGCATTAGACCCTTCCCATGTCCCCTGGGTCTGAGGTCTTCAATCGAAACATTCGTCCGGGCACTTAAATCATGCTCAAAGTCGGTCTCTGAAACATCTGGTTCTCCATAAAGTTTTAGAAACTCGAGTCTCTTCACGGTTCTAGCCGGTATGGGTCCGTCCCCAACGTTGCCTTGACGACTAAATAGACGTCGAGCATACCAATCCATACGACGTGTATAATGACCATTATTTCGAGTCATGCGTGGACGACCTTTCTGATGGTAAAGTTCCAAGTAGCGGCTTCTGACCATCATCTCTTGCGCTTTCAGCTTCTCATTCTCTCGAATATTTTCCAGCACGCACGCTTGCCAGTGCTCTGGAACGACCTGGATACCAGGATGATGGGAGAGGGTTGCGATATCCTGCTCTGTTAGGAGAAGTGAGTCCCCCTGGCGAATAGCATCGGCTTCCTGAAGTATCTCAGAGTGTAGGAGCATCAACTGGTCAATCTGCTTACCGATTGTTTCCTTGAACTCACGGTTTGCCCTGTCTATTTTGACGCGTAGCTCATAGACCCGAGAGAGATCCTCTGCAAAGGTGGACACGCGCTGTTTGTAGTCTTGTCGCAGTTTGGACATGAAGTTGCTGCTTCGGAATGGCAAGGACTGGTCACACATTTTGGTAGTTTCTTGACCGGATGGTCTTTGATATCGTGGGGTTCTTTTTTTGGAGGGAGTAGGATGTGATTGATCTTTGACGTGTTGTTGGTGTTAGCGAGATAGGCAGAAGATGATGAAAGGAAATCTTACGATATTTATACCAGAGCGACAAGTGATCCGAACAGAGACACCTGAATGCATACCAAAGAACAAACATTGAACATAATGGCCTCTCACCATGTGTTTTATCGTCCAGGCTTAATTCGAATAATCTACACCTCACAGGAAATTCTCCTCGAACAAGTCGACAAACAGTCTCAAAAGGCTGTGCGATGATGCAGAACAATTCAGCATTTGTAGTTGCTATTGGGGGCATTTTGGGCCAAACCCCACTGCAGAGTCCAGTATAAGACGCTACCAGTGACCAGTACAGGGGCTTGTTCAGCACGCGTCCGTGCCAACTGTGATCCCTCAGGTAGCGCAAAAGCTTAGGGCTCTACTCTAAGCGAGCTTATGATTACACCGTTTTGTCACTTAAGATAAAGATTTCGACTTTTGCTTCCCAGTCATGAATAAATATGGCATCGCTCTCAGTGCATTGACTTAAAATGTGTCTTTACTAAACCTCATTCACGCCAGTTCTTGCTCTTCATGTGACGCACTATCGTCACAGCCATTTTCTCTCATGGGGTCCAAGCTAGCCAATCTCTCCTCATACGCACCCATGAAATGTTCACATGACCTCTTCAGCTGCACATTAGGAAACGAGGGCTCTTCAAATTCCAGAATCTCATCAATGTCTCTCGTAAGCTTGTCAATATCATTAACAGCGGCGATCATTTTCCGCGTCGCAATACCCAGAATATCCAGCTTGTTGAGAGCCTCTACAACTTGTCTATACCCAACTTCGTGTTTACGTTTGTGTGCGTTGTTCGCACTTGGCGTAGTTTCTGGCATGCGAGCACTGCAGGCTGTCAGTCGGGTCCACGATGCATCGTTGGGGATCTCACATTGCCAGGAGAAACAGTTTGAGACATGTCACCTGCATCCGCAGATCTGGCATAAGATCAGTTGGATCTTGATTCAGAAGTGTCGTAAGCGTGGCAGGTGAGATCTGCTGATTCAGACTCAGAGGTTGGGGCGGGGATATGCTTGTCAGCTTTAGCTTCTTGCTCAAGCTGGTGCCTGGAGAAGAGGGGGTCAATGCCCTCTTTCGAGATGAAGCGAGTGTCGACATGGCATGAATACAGACAGCTGGTGAGTCGGTTTTCTCAATGGAGTATTAGATCCTTACTTATAATTCCTCTTCTAATCCCAATATGATCTCATTGCTGGTGGTTACACGAGTAGGCTATCTCAATACCCTGCGATCTTGTCTCCCCATGTCGTGGAGAGAACTTGGAAATAGTCTGAAGCAAGTCATATTAGTGAGATATGGGTGGTACACTGCAGCAAGCCGTTTACAGGCCGCAGCTCCAAAGACAGTCGGGGGAGATGGCTATGATCCATTGGAGGAAATCAGCGTGCTCCAGCGATGATAAGTAAGCATAAATTTCTAAAAATGAGATACTAAGTGGGCTCTCCAACCTCATGGCACTGAGTACTACATGACAGCTGATAGAAAAAGCGAGACTTGTGTCGCGTGAAATTACAAGAGTTCGGTGCTGGGTATCTCTTGGCGAGTAACACGCCTTCCAACTGGACACTGGGCTCCGTGCTGTCACTGCATATGCAGCTACAACCAGCCCGTGCAGCGCTGTCACGTTTTCTCCCCTATCGATTCAGAAAGGTGATGGGATGTGTCTCAGATGCACGATCAGTGGATGGAAATCTCTTCATAGTGGACCAGGTACCTTTTCTACAGTCGTTCACCAATGAAACCATCAACCTTCACCGAATCAACTCAGACATGCATCGAACTATCGCAAGTGGAAGCAATTATCATGCGGCATCCGACGAATGACCGATGCAGTATGCACGCCCACCAGCCGGAAAACCAGCCAAATAAAACCGTTTAAAAAGTTCGACAAGAGAGACATCACGGGAACTGGAAATATGAGCGCAACCATGAGTCTGCAATATGTCTGAGAGCGGGGTTGTAAGACACAGCTGAAAAGCGCGACCAGGGTTTCCGCATTTTAGTTGTACCATTTTTCTCTCGTGGCTGGCTGGTTCAGTGGCGGTGAGGACATGTGGCTGGACTGGGGTTGCTCGGAATCATGAGTTGCCGATGCAGTTGGGTTACACAAGACTCATCCTTTTCTCCACGGTGCGCCCAGTAACGAGCGAGACATCAGGGGAGAAGGGAAAACAACAAGTGGTCGGCCCGGTAGGCCGTGTTGTATGCTTATCTGATACGACGTGAGTACCGGGTGAAGCCTCTACACATGATGAATGGAAAACGTAAATCTGACGATTTGATTGCATGATACCACCGTCAGTTACAATGGAGTAATACTCTTTGATTATCATGGCATGCGTGCTGATGAGTCAGACTATAAAAGCAGAGGGTTCAAAATACATCAGTCCATCACCAAAGCATCGCTTCGGCACTCTTGGCTGAACTGCGACATTGCATTATGATGAGACTTATCTGTAGTCTAGCAAACGATGCAATGAGTAACGTAGTTTCACAGACGTGAGACAATGAACTGGAATCAGATTCTTACATAAAGCTTCTGATTCACCAGGCATGGCTATGATGATCTGCATCTTGAACACGTCAATAGTGATTCCACTGTTACGTGATGGTATAAATAATTTTGATTACAGCAATTTTCTTACCACCTCAATCTGTATTACGCCCAATACAATAATTGAATTTTATATAGTGCAATCAAAAGTTGTACTACATCAAATGGATGACAACGAAGCCTCAGGATCTGCCGCAAGCAATGCTGCTCGAGCAAGATGGCAGTGCGCATTGGCCGAACACACGAAATACGAAGATTTTCGTAACAGAATACGCAGCTTCCTCATGAACTTAAACAACATGATACAATCCTTGCAAACCAACTCCCGTAATGCAGGCCCTGGTACAGACCTCGGTAGAAGCATGGCGGCATTGAGCCAAGAGATGTTTGTGAAGACGAGAGAGATGGGCAGAGCTGTCACAGAGCTCAACAGGGTATATACCCAAGTTGATCTTAGAAAGCCTCAGGTAGAGGCGTATATTGGATTTGGAAGTGGATCTGCCGTCGGCACCCTACAGGACACGCTTGTAGCGTTGCGATATCTGGAGCGGTTTGAGATAGGAAACGCGCGGTTGAAACAGATGTGGGATGGCTCAATGGCTTGCTCGAGACGGGCAAGTAGGTTGGCATATGTTACCAGGAGGTAAGTTCGTTACTTGTAGTCGCAGTTTCTCATATGCCATCAGGCGTTAGATTTGGCGATAGCAGGGTCCTTCATAGACAAGACATTATTATTAATAGTATTCAAACCCTATACATACTGCTCTGAACCATGATTAATACTTGAAACCGCCCATTCTCTCTCTCAAAACACCCTCCGGATCAGCCTCGTGCTGCAAAGCCTTAAACTTGGCGTAATCCTTATAAGTCCCCGTGACATTCTGATCAAACATAGCATCATTCATAAACAAAGGAAGATACTCATCCACATCACCTCCATTCCTCTCAATCCACTCAGGAAGTTTATCCTCAATATAAGCCGTCAAGTCCTTAGAGAACTTACGAACAGTATCGTCGTAACGCTTCTCAACCCACGCGCACTGGATCTCGAGAAGAACACGGTTAGGGTCATTGGCGGTGAAGCCGATGGCGTTTCCGCCGCGTTCTTCTGTATGTTTGCCGATTGCAGAGGGGAGGGGCTGGAAGTCGACGGAGCATTGGGAGGCGAGACCGCGGAGATTTTTGAAGTAGGTACTTGTGATGTCGACGAATTTGTCGGTGATTTCGGCGTATACGGTTGGATCTTTGGGGAAGTAAGGAATGGTCGCGGTCTGGGGCGTTAGTTGACAGGAGTGCATTCTGGGGAGGAAGGCTTACTCTGAAGGAGATGCGTGAGTTCAACAGCGAAACTCCGGCGCCATTGGACTTGAGCTGGTATCCCGTTAGTGTTACTAAATCCCAAGAAGATACGAATTGGCTTACCAGATCAGGATAAGACTGTATCTTTGTAGTAGAAAGCGTCGACTTGATCTTCAACAACTCGGCAAATGCTCCAGTGGTAGGAGGCTTCTCTCCCTGATAAAAGTAGAACAAAAGGTTGATTCGGCTACTCCCAGTGAGGATAAGACTGGTAACAATGATAGCGGCCTTGGGATCCTCGTTACTGTATGGGATGAACTCGTGCATCGCCTTGTAGAGTTCGTCTGTCTTGGACTCGTCGTAGGTGCGGATACCGCCCCAGACCTTTCCGATGGGATAGGCCTTAACTGTGAACTGAGTTACGATGCCAAACTGGCTTCCACTGCCTCTCAAAGCGACGGCGAGCTCGGGCTGAGTCTTGGCGTCGACGTTGATAATTGTGCCGTTCCAGTTGACCATCTCCCACGAGACAACGTTCTGCACATCGTTAGCTAGAGTCACTTCAGTTGCATGAGTGGCCGTACATCAGCAGCCAAGCCGTATTGAGCGCTCAGGAAAGATATGCCACCTTGTGTAAGGAGACCTCCAACACCAACCAGTCCTAGAGTCAAGTCAGTAGTGAATCATCTAGCAACCTCGCAAAACATACCAAGACGACCTCCGACAATAGCAACGCCTTCCTTGTTCAGCTGCGAAATAACATCATTCCATTCTCCTCCTGGCTTAACATACGCAACCTTTTTATCAGCATCATAAGTAGCGCCAACCATCTCATTCAACGAAATCAGAACTCCATCACCAGCAGTGGCATGAGTAGGATTAGGATCATGTCCGCCACTCTTAGCAGCAAACTTGACATCAGGATATTTATTCAAGATGGCCACGGCCTTTGAAACATCTTCAGTCGACTTCGCAGTGACGACACAAGCAGGTTTGATCTCCCGTAAAGCCGTAGACCAATACCCCGAAGATTGACTGTTGTAGTTGATGGTGAAGGGCTGTGAGACGCGACCCGGAATAGCTTTTGAGATTTCTTCACAAGCTTTCTTTGTTGAAGCACTTGGAGCCGCGACGGCTGAAGCAGCGAAGAGGGAGGATACAAGAAGTGAATGAAGGTGCATTATGGCGGTACGGAGTCAATGACAACTTGCCTAGAGGGTCGAAGTGAGTGAGATATGTCGGGAGTTAAATAGAGGAGGAAACAAAACAAAGCGAAACGGGTCCCGGCATGCGTCGCACAGACGGCAGTGTCAATCATATCATACAGCTGCCAGATGCGCCCTTGGCACACTCGTATCGAGAGCATTGGTCACATGCTTGCGGGGCAGAAAGATATTAAGGGTTCAATTTGACGGTGATGGCGGAAGATAGGTTTGCTTTTGTCTAGTTATAGAAAGGACCTCGCCGTCTCAGGACAGTGGCATTGGTAATTCTTACCCGTCCAGTTTATTCTGATTCATATCAGAACTACAATGCAAACATTTACATCAGCATCTATCATCAATAACGCCCTCGGGAGTGTTTTAGCTCCCTTCAACGTCTGTGGAGAAGAACCCATCCCAGTGGATCCAACCTTTCTTCTTTCTCGACATTCACAATTTCCATGACTTGTCAGTACAACATGCCCCTGCATGATTGCCCAAAGGAGCTAGCGTTTCGTCGCGCGCGAGTCAGGCTGAGCATCATTTCACGGATTGGCCTAGATTGCGAGATGCTTTGGCCAATCGCTAAATAACCAACTAGATTGACTTGTCAGTGCGTAATGTGGGAGATACGGGACCTGAAACATTTTAATTAGTTTGGCGGTCGCGAGGTTATTGCTGATCGGAGGGGGGCTAAAAATAAAAGAAAGTGTTGGTGCTGTGGATGGGGTCAAGCTTGCGAAGCTGGGGGAGGTAAAAAAACTTGAGACCTTGACCCTAAGCGACGAAAATAGTTAGGCGATTTACATGACGTTAGGGTGTCCTTCGTTGAGTTTATTTTGGCTTCCTATTCAGTTTTCCTGCATCCCCGGTAAAGGTCTTGGGGAAGCTAGGCTATGAATTGATAAGATGAACGGAGCTGACCAAAGAGCTGAAATCGATGGACACACTGCACGTGCTCCCTTTTGAAGACACAGTACGGAGCACATCTGGTCTGTTTTTCTTTTCTCAAATGGACTATGGCGACAGCATCACTCCTCTGAGAGTATGGATTCGGTTACGAGAGCTACGAAATACACTTCACAAAGGATCTAGCTATAGTTAATATCCTTTGGAGGCTCAAGCAATATTTACTGCATTATCGGCTGGGATGTTTTGCATGCGGAAGTTCCCGCCGTCAGATAACCGAATGAGATTGAGTGCAATCCTGCCGGCAGGTTCCAGCCAGTGGCTCAGACCCAAGGGTATTGTAAAGGAATTTTCACTTTGGAGTATTTACCTCTTGCCTTTCGAATCGATAGCCTTGGAATATGACCTAGTATTTATTACTTGGCCAGCTGATGCAAAAAGAAAGGAGCGTGGAACCGATGCTTGGGGCGCACGGACAACTTGTTGAGACTGTTAAGAGGTACATGCTCATGTGGGATCAGCCAGGTGGTCAGAGAAGTATCTTTTAACAGAACATCAGAAATACCCTGTATACCGAGGCATTTTCTCTTTAACCACAAATTATCTCCTTAAAACAGTCATTCCATTACGATAAACTTAAATATATTGTTATTCAAACCATTAGTAGTTTTTAAGATCTATGTAAATAGCGAGCTGCGTCATGAACGTCACACTAAAGTCAATAATTGAGACTTCTGTCATGCTCATTCAAAACAGCGCTTCATCCACCACGTCGCAACCGTCTTGCGATATGCTACACAAACTGGGCAATTGAAGGTGCTTTGTCTTCTATTCCAGCTGAATCAGGCATCGCCCTCCTTCTGGCGTTAAAAGAAAGTACGCTCGCAGCTCCATATCCTCTCCCGACATGCCCTCGATAGAAAATACCGTCGCATTTGGAAAAGCCCGGAAGAATCTCGCCGCAGCCTGCTAGGTGAGCACCTCCAGTGGGTACGACACGAGGAAGAGCTGAAGGGACTGCTGCATACAGTCGAAGTGTCTCGTCAATGATGTTGTTCAAGTGAGGAAGCTCACGCAGGTCACTGTGACCAAAATCATCGGGCAGTCCCATAAGCTCTTTGACCAGCTTCTGCCGAACATCGGCATGACTGCACACGGAGTATATGAGGTACATCAACGTCGTCGCGGTAGTATCAGAACCAGCGACGATGTATGCCTGCGCCTCGGCGCGTATCTCATCATCGGAGAGGCCATCTTCACCAGCTTCAAAGAGCTTTCTGAACAACATAGGATTGGCTGCAGCAGGATTATTTGCGAGATCTCTTTTGTAGCGTGCGACAGCCTCAGCGGAGTAGTGCGTGATGCGCTGTGCAGCAGCAACAGTTTCTTTGAAGATGGGAAGGGGGAACTTGGTCGCGATGGATATAAGGGTTGGAAATGTCGATCGAATGGAACCCTTGGCTGCTAGACCTTCTAGGTCTACGATATAATGGTTCTTCTGGTTATCTTAGTTAGTAAAGAGAATACTTGTCAGGTCGGTACTCACTTTTCCATGTTTCAATATGCCGAATGACTCCCCAAAGCTAAGTTCGACGATTATATCTGTGGCCATGAACAACCAAAACTTGGCTACATCCGCTGCCCCGCGTTGATCCATTTCACGCTTCATACTAGCAATTGCCACCTTGACATATGCGTCAACTGTTGGCTCCACAGATTTGAGCGATGATTCGGAGAGAGGTGATGACAGCAGACGTCGATGGTGGCGGTGGAACTCCACATCGAGAGTATTGAAGAGGTTGTTGGTATTGGGAACAAGATTCTGGTAAAAGGGGGCTTTTCTGTAGCCATCTTTGACGCGATGAATCTCCTTGACTGCTTCCATGTCGGAAATGTCAACCTCGTGAGGGCCTACTCGCACAACGGGGCCTGTTAGGAGTTAGCGACATGCTGTCTAGGGGTTTTGACGAACCATATTGCTGATGAAGGTATTGGACGTATTGCGCTCGTGTGCCCTTTAGCCAGTGATACTTCGGGATAACGTCTGTCCAGCGGGATATCCATGGACCTGCGTGACAGTATTAGCGTAGCCAGGTTGAATGGAAATACAAATAGGTAACATACCTGGTAGCCGCGAAAGTGGATTGAAGAAAACGGTAAACGTTGCCTACAATTCGTTAGAGAAGGAGAGGCTGGAGGTAAGATCCCACCCACATAATAGAGTAAGTATAGAACACAGAGAAGTAGTACAAAATGACCAGTTGCTTCTAAGCTCCGGTAACCGCCTTCGAGTTTAGAATCCATGCTTGCAGGTTGAAGTTCTCAGTGTTTGGTGTAGACGTATAAAGTGCAAGATTCTGATCTTACATAGTAATAAACCCGCCGTTAATGTAGACAGAATATCGGCCTCAAACAACCGCCGACCCGATCTCAAGCCCGATCTGCCTTAGTTACCTGCTGTCGAGGATAGAAGGAGCTTAATTGCTTGAGAAAGAGGGGAGTGACCATTGGTTACAAGGCCCCGCTTTGGCGGACAAGTGAAAGTCCGGGCTAATACCGAAGCGCGATACGTCGGAGTTCTGAGAAGGAAATGCCGTTATGGGGCATAGTACAGGCGATATAACAGGGATGCTACCAATCTTCATGCAGGATCTAATTGCAAAAGCATATTTAAGTAAATTCAATTAGCGAAATTCTTCTTTATGTTCTGAAAGAAAGTTACAACTCGGCTCTGTACAAGATGCTCCCCAAAACCTCCCCCAATTTCTGCTCACAGTCCGCAGGCTTGCCAACAGATCCCCACGCAACAAAACGATCTGGTCGGACGAGAACACACCTACTATCGCTGACACCCCTCTTCTCATACCAACGCCTATAAATGTCGATATATTCCTGACCTTGGCCGATGCCAACGGCACTGATAGGGATGCCGGTGGCTTTCTTGATAGCCTCAGCTGCGCTTCTCCAAGCACTGCCGTCCACACCAACCAATAGACAGAAGGACCCTTTTCCAGCCAGGTCCAGAGTTGATATCATGCCCAGGTGGTTTGGCTTGTCAATCCACGCGTGGGGCAATCTGCTACCGGGATAGGTGCTGATCTGAACCTCCACAACTGGGTCACCTTGCAGTTCTGGTCTTGGGCCAGGCTCATCATCCAGGAACACAGCCTTGGATACATAGAAATGATTGTGGGCCAAGCCAAGGCTCTCAAACTCTTGTTTCTTTTCTTCCAAGGCCGCGTGCAGATCGGCCCGTCGCACTGAGCCCTCCGGCGTCGCATGCGATAGTTGATCTATTTGCTTCATGCCGGGGCCATCATCCCAAATACACGGAAGAGCTCTGCGTTCTTTCGTATATGGTTGTTGCTCTCCCTGACAAGATCGGCACCGACTGGCTGTCTCTCTTGACTGTATGAGGATAACAGACCTGGACCAGCCCAGCCTTTTGACACATAAGCCACCTTCCACGCGAGGTTATACGCGTCTTGGATGCACGTGTTGCTACCAAGACCGAAATTCGGAGGATGTCTGTGTGCCGCATCACCCAGCAGAAACAAGGTCTGATCGTCTTTCGAGTATGTCTCCGCGACAGACTCACGCACGGTCCAAGCGTCAAGCGTCAAGATCTCAACATCAAGCGAATCAACTCCAACAAGCTCTCGGATCAAGTCTACAAGCTCATGACTCTGAGTGGTCAGGCCCTCAAAGGGATTGGTGCCCTGTGCACCAAACGCTACCAGCACCCACTCGTTGCAAGGCCGAACAACTCGCAAATGTGCAACGACGCCGGGGAAGAGGGCACGGTCGGGTTGTATGATCCAGTGTATTCCCCCGAGACGCCCTGGGGTCAAGTGCGTTGCAAGATCTGCACGAAACAAGACGTTGCACGCTTTCGGGCCTGGGCTTTGGGTCAGGAAGTTAAAGTTGAATTGGCGCGCTATCTCGCTGCGTGCCCCATCTGCTCCGAAAAGGTATTTTGTGCGGATTTTGAATTCTTGCTTCAGGATATCGTCGTAGAGTGTGCACATATAAGCGGACTCGGTGGTGTCACTCGAAATATTATCAACTTTGAGAATCTCGGTTGAAAAGCGAACATTGAAGCCGTTATGTGATGCGAAACGTAGAAGAAGAGGTTCCAAGTGTCGCTGGGAAAAGTCCACATACTCGCAAGGCGTGGTTTCTTTTCGTCTTCCCTAGCACGTGCCTTATTAGCAGATAGCTGTGCATGGCATGAAACACTTACTAAAGATCTAGGATCTTCTTCCCATGCCGATAGTCTTCCGTATTCCTCCCCAATCATGCTCTGTGCGAAGCGGAGTGAAAGGATGAAAGGTTCTCGAATGGCGAGCCGAAGCACCCCATCTTCCAGTTTAATGTCTCGTAGGCACTCTTGTTACGCGTCAGAGAGTAGCCATGCTTGCCTATGTATCCAGTCCTACCTAGTGCAAAGGGATTGAACCCATGGGCTCGAGGCGTATAGGCCGTATGCGGACCTTTCGAAATCACAAGTCCACTCATTCCTGAACATTACTTGTTAGCTTACTGGGCAAACCATCTTGAGAAGATTCAAGACTTGCCATTCTGTCCCAGAAAGGAAGCGAGGGCGCCGCCGGCAGGACCTGCACCCACGATCAAAATATCCGTGTCAACTACGGTAGACATGGCAAATGGAAGTGATCTGTTGACTGATGATTTACTCCAAACTTCGAGCTGGACTTTTGTTTTTATAACCCATCTCGGCCACTGAAAGAATACCGAAACTGATAATTGATCTCGTCGATTGATCTGGGGTTCGGACTTCGGACAACACCTGTACTTCCGGCCCACAGCGACTTCATTGGGGATTTTGCCCGGTTTCAGTTGCGTGAGTCGCCGTGTAGTGGGAGAACGCTCAGAAGGCCATCTTCTGGTTCATGGTTGCATTGTAGCTAGATGTGGCGTATCACATGGACGAAGAGCGCAGCTCAATTGGGAAAAACCTGATTGAGATGAACCTCAACACGTACTAGCGCATTCATGGCACTTCGTTGATTCCAAACCATGAGCCCTCGGTCTATCCTCGAATGGCGCTGCTGCTATTGGTTAAACAGTCCCTTAGTATATATGCCACCGAATAGAGAAAGATTTGCGGCAGAAGCTTTCTATCTTTGATCTCAAAACACATCTCTAGTCTGCCAGCTATGCCCAAATGACTTTGTAGATAATTAGGCACAAGTCACTCCAAGATCTGGCCTGCTTATGTCGATGGCAGCACAGCTCGTAACGACGTATTCCGACCAGTAAAAGTGAATGCCACGTCATTAAGGAATCAAGAACTCAGGTGGCTAATGAAGAAGGCTCATGTGACATGGGAATCGGGAAGTGGCCCCACCTCTGGACAGCTCCTCAGCTTTTCCGTAAAATGATTAAGAATATAGTTTACTTTTATCATTATGTTCACTGCTAGCGACCTGACTCGCGAAACCTTCCTCGACGTCACTCACGTCGACCAATTATGAAGTAATGTATTACACCAGCATTCATTCATGCCAAGACCAGACTTGCCATGATGCCCACTGCAGCCCAGAGGCTTAAAGCACGTCTTGTACCTGCGCCGTTACTAGAAGTCGTAGATGAAGCTTCGCCCGTAACAGTAATCACATCACTATCAGTCGTGCTCCCAGTTTCGGTGGCAGAAGTCGTTGCTTCCTCAGCCTCTCCGGTTCCAGAGACGCCTGTACACGAAGCCTCGGTAAAGGAGGCAGTCTTGGCAGAAAACAGATACGAGTGACCAGCAGTGACAGTGACAGGAGTCCAGCCAAAGTATCCATACCCACCATAGAAGAACATATCAACCGTCGTTCCGCCGTGCTTGGTGTATGTCGCTGTGACGCCCCGACTATCGTCGAAGGTGAACGAAGCATGATTGGTCGTGGTACAGACTATAGGCACCGTATAATCCATTTGACACTCTATTGAGAACGAGTAGCCTTCTTTTTCATCTTCATTGACGGTGCCTTCTCTCCAGATACCAGTGGTTACAGCTCCAGGCGCAGGTGTCTTATCGGCCCATGGGCCGAGAATGACGGTGTCCTTGGTGATGTAGCATTCACCGTCTTCCCAATTCTTTTTGTGCTTGGGCTTGTCGCAGTCCAGTACGAAAGTCGTGGCTGTAGGGTTTGCGCCGATGACCTCGGCAACGAGATTTGGAATGCCGGTGTATTCCAGCATGAGCAAAGAAGTTGTGATGGTTGAAGACATTGCGAAATATGTACGGATGGTCGATTGAGAGATCAATCAAGGATGGATCAAGAAGCTAGAGGGTGATTTGAGAATGGAGAGGTCTTTATGCAATGCAACAGCCTCTCTGTCCGGGAATATCGGCCAATGTTTAATTAGCCAAGGTCTTGGCTATGGTGCCAGACTCCACTTCCCGTTTTCTAGTGACACTCTGATGGTCTGACGCACGAGAGCCTCAAGACGTACAATCTTCGTGAGTGTACGGCTGAAGTGTTTTCTTCAATGGCCTTGATGCATCTGGGCGACAGCGATGAAGTGAGACAATTTGAACTCTGTATTAAAAAAAGGAAGGCCGAAATACATCTCGCAGAAGTAATGTTGTTGGTCTGTTTATATCCACTCAAAGTCGGCCCGCCAAATGACTCGCTTGCACTTGTTGGTTGGGAAATCTACTTAAGAGCGGAGTCTTTCGGGCATTTCCATTTGTGGCCGCAGCAGACATCGAAAAGTGCTTAGACTGCTTATCTAGCTTTTCAGATAAGATATCTGTAAACGTCCAACGGAAATGGAATCAAGACTTGGAAGCTTTATAGCTCTTCCGAGCAGCCACGGCTTACTGTGAAAACGCAAGGGTGCTAACAGGTGCTGGACCATCGATTGATTGATGCCTAAAGCTCATGATGCCTCAACGAGACATCAAGCCGACACACTGAAAACCCCTATTTAACTTTAGCTTTTGGAAGGTAATATGGACATATCTGTTGCCTTGTGATTAGGCTGAAGAGCTTCTATATAGTACATTTATTATATTGCCATCAAACCCGCGGTTCCTCAGCTCCCAGCTGAGTCTAGAGGCCTTGCTAGAGGAGAGAAGACTGTCAGTAACATGCACCTTATACGCGAGAAAGGAGTTCGGGAGTCTGGATCGAGCGGATCTCTCCGAACACCCCTCATCCCATGGCTACGTACCTCGACTCAGGTTCGAACAAATTCTCCCCATCTCCGTATAGATAGGAGCACACCGCATCATCTACCTCAATGAACTCATTATCTTCGCAAGAACCTTCCCCACGACAGATCATATGCACCTTCGGTCTCTCTTCCACGAGGTGTGAGCGCCAGTCCAATTTGTCACGCATCTGGCGAACGAGATCATCATAACCGTGTTCCGGATTTCGAAATGCCAGGTTGAGTAGCTCGACGCAGCGCAATGTGGGGGGCAAACAGGACAGAACATCGATCAAGTCATCTAGCTCTACCAGGAAATTTGAGATACCGAAGTGCTGAAGTCGTGGCCAGTGATCGATAGGAAATACCGTCCTTAGGGGGAATACAGGCCATTCAAGGTCTTCTATATCAAGCTGTTGGCAGTGTGCGTCTTTGATATCTGTCGAAGCGCGGATACATAAATGTTCCATATCTTTAGCTTGAGCTAAAGCATCTCGTAGGAGCCCAGTCATGTATGTTGCCCAGCCATCTTGCTCAATGAGACTTGCGAATAGAGCAAGATCGAGATAACGGAAGCCTGGACGACCAAGGATCATGTATAGGTTGTCGTACTCTGGGCAACGCTGATCAAAGACACGACAACTCAATCCCGATTTGATCTCGTGGCCTTCAATCTTGAGCTCTGTGACTGTATTTCCGCACTCGAGCAAGGCTCTGCTCACGAGTTGATAGCCTCGCCATTTCTCTCTGTATCTCTCAGCGGTACAGTGGGTGCCGTAAAACCACTGGTACGGAGCGTCGCCTTCCTCGGATATCCATGGGAGCTCGTCGTACCATTCTCCACCATCGTCCATTGGGGCAGTAGGCCATGCCTTTGGGATTGGATAATCGAATCCAGGAGGAAATGCCCTGATCATAGGAGTCCTATATAGTGGGTGACCATGCCTCCCGTGAGTCGCAGGTGAAATGGTGATTCTTCTCAAGGATTTGAAACGCTCAAGACCATACTTGAAGGCCTTTATGTCAGCATTACTTTCCAGAATCTGCTGTTGGTCTTCTAACAACGGCTTGTAGTATTCCCAGCACTCTGCAAGTCCCATATGATTGTCAGCAACAGGAAAGGTGTAGTGGTGGCACCAGTCATCGTCAGATGTACTCGATCCTTTCTGAAACCACTTCGGACATCCATTCTCAGTTACAATCATATCTGGCTCCCGACCGTGATACTCCCATTCATCTTTATATTGCCAGCGCTCCGGGCCAGTAAGTAAACGGGCGTCGTCCCAGATAATCTCAGTGACTTGATGGCGAAAAATGTCGTGGTCTGCAATTGCTTTGAAGACTTGAATGTTGAGGGAATTTGCGGATATGAATACACGATCGAAACGAAGTGGTACGGCCCGTGCCATTGCTAAGCATGTTTCACGTAGGGCCTTTAGGTCGCTTCCGTCAAGATACTGAGATATAGCATTGGTCAATTCTTGAGGAAGTCGTGGTAGGATGCACGATATGTCTGGCATTGAAGTAGCCATTTTGGATGACTTGAGAAAGAATCCGAGATCCTGAGATTGGGGGCTGGAGCTGTTTATAAATGATCCACGGCTGACGGTTAGTGGCTCGTTGGTCGTGCAATTTCCAAGAATGGAGATCACCGAAGGCAACCAACAAGACCGTGCACATAATGGAGCCACTCTTTAGCTTTGAAAACGAGGTCGTACGCCGTTTCGGTTATGGCCGTGACCGGACTAATATTCTTGAGAGTGCGTTATCCTGTAGATGAATCCGCAATAATATGAAGGACAGGGAGATCGCTCCTCTCTATTGAGATCTACCATCCAGCACTGGGGAATCGGGAACACGGCTTAAGGATAAACTTTAGGTAATACGATACTTTGCTACTGTTGAAAGACTACAAGTTCAATGTTTGACACGCTTTGGTGTGATAAAAGCTTGGAATTTAGGCGATAGCTACATGCTGGTTCATTTATACTTTAGCGTTTTGGCAATATCTACTAAGCTTCAAGAACGAAAAGTATCGTGATGTTGACGGTATTAAACTTTGCAAAAAGTACTCAATAATGAAGTTTACTTATGCTTCTTTACTGGTCCTATCAAAATAAGTTCTACGTTTGGAAAGTATGTTTGTTTCGAGAAACACATATATAGTGAGCACCGCCAGCGTTTTCATCTTCTCAAGGCATGTTCTTCATTTCCGTGGACTACTTTTATCTGGATCCAACAGAACAGCATATTCTTTTTCAGCTTACAGCAGACACGACATTCCAACCATGAATGACGACGTTATCACAGACGATTTTGAGGTCGAGGTATTTCTCGACCTCTTGCACTGGTCTTGGGAAGATGCATATAATGGTATGTTCGTCTCCAAATGTCTCAACTTCGCTGACCTTTTCCTAGGTACTCATGAGTCGGAGCGGCCTGTATCTCCCTTTTCATAGCCAACGCCGCCCATCTCAGGGCCGGCCAATCCTCAGAAAGGGCCCGAAGTGGACATTTTTTGTGATCAAAGTCCAAGCCTTGACTCTGAAATCTATTCGCCATCTGAGGATCTTGAACCACTCGATAGGTATGAGAGCTTTAGGATGATCAGTTCCGCCGCTCCATCTCCAGAACTAGGCTCATTCTCCTGCGGGCAATCACCACAGAGCACAATCGACCACGGTAATTCTTCGAGATCTGAGGCCCCGAACTGGAAGAGGTCCCTCAGCAGCGATTACGATGACACATTATCCAAGAGGATACGCCGCCAAATTAGAAATGAGCTGATATCTGCCTCATCAACATAATGGACTGGTTAACCCAATACGAGACTTACATCAGGAAGCGGTTGGAACTGGCTCAAGACCGAGTGACTCTGGCTCAGGAACTTGTAGTTGCTCTCAATCACGAGTTGCGCGATATTCTCCGGGCACAAAACCTACAAGGAGCCCAGTCTCATACCGAGGAAGAGATTGAGCAGTACAGCCTAGCGGTAGAACGTCCCGACTTTTTCCCTAGCAAGGCTTATCTCCTGATAGACCCCATCGACTGTCAAGTCATAACCTCGACACTGGACCCCAGATTCGATCAAGTCAGAGGATCTCCCGTGGGCGTTAGAGGCTTCTATGAGACCTTTCTCCGCACAGTGTTTTTATCTCCATGGCAATATCCCATCCGGTATTTCACTCTTCGTCACCCGAAAGCTGCCACCTGTCCGATAAAGCTGCAGTGTGAGAACTGGCTGCTAGTAGAGGAGAACATATTGCAAACTAGAGGGAGATGGGACATCGATATTCGATATACCGCTATACGTGCTGATTTTGTCGCTGGCGGATACAGTGGTGTCAACATGTTCGATGACAAAGTTGAGTCGGATAGGATCAGCACTTTAACTTGTCGGATCTTTAATTATTTGCAGCTAGGCTTTAGTGCCGTTGAGCAAAGAGGGTATCAAGTGCTTGACTGGCATATGTATGAGCCTGACAACGCGGGATATGGCGGGGACGAGATTAATCGACTAAAATTGATGGACCAGTTTGGTCCACGAATTTTCGAGAATCTGGAACAAGCATATACATAAGAAGTAGCTTGATCTAGATATGGAATGATATGAATTAGTAGTCTTCAGCTTTAGGAGCCTGGTACATCGTTTTCCAATAACAACATAGGCTTTACCGTCAACAAAGTATTTCCTCATATTGGCTGACATCTCGTATACCCACTCTATTTCCGGAAGCCCGGATACCCGTGACCCCACTTTAGTATGACCTCCATTTGGCAAGCATCAGCCATAATTCTCTTCCATGTTAATCACCCATTCACCATGGAGCGACTAGTCTCAACACGTGCAAACACACGATCCTCGCTAGCTTGTCTCGAGTGCCGGACAAAGCATGTGAAATGCGATGCTAAACAGCCGCGATGCAGTCGGTGCATGGCATACGATAAGACGTGCCAGTATACAGCTTCGAGACGCGGTGGCCTTGATCGAGCTGCTTTGGCTGAAAGGCGGAGACGACTGGCTAATAAGGCTGATGGACAGCTGGACAATGGCGTGTCAGAGATTTCCGTGGTGGTATCTGATGAGGGAATTAACTTAGGGGATGAATCTGTGACGGGGACGGATTGGAGCTTACCTGTTCCAACACCAGTACCAGTACCGGTACCAGAGAACCGCGACACACCGCAGTTTAGCCATGGCGGACTCACCGATGATGCTCTGGTTAAGTCGTACTATGCCAACTTTCACCACTTGCATCCTTACGCTCCCCCATACAAACACTTAGTCCATCTGTCCCAGGCGTCAACCTTCAACTTCAGTGCCCTCATAGCTGCCATGCGGCTCATCGGTCATATCTACGACACCCACCAATGGTCAGAAACACTAAGTAGCGCTGTCGAGGATCAAATTTCACAGCTCAAATCATCAGATGCAGTGCAAGTCCAGGCTCGCCTACTCTACTCAATCGCTTTGTTCTGGTACACGTTTAAGGCTGAAGCAAAGGAGCAGATGGATGCTGCAATAGATGTTGCCGTCATGTTAGAGATGCATAAGCAGGAGTTCGCTGCTACTTTGGGATTCGGCGACCCGGTCATGGTTGAATGCTGGAGACGAACGTGGTGGATGCTATTCATCACGGATGCTTCCTACGCTGGGACTTTAGGCACGATGAATTTCAAGACATTACATGTTGAACCTACCGCAGATCTTCCTTGTGAAGATTCAGAATACGAGTCAGGTGTAAGTACTATCCATTAACTTGAATCAAGAGACTCACATGCGATGGATAGATAATCCCTGCACCAAAGACTTTACAAGACTTTGATTCTCGCGAATTCGATAGCGAAGACGTTGTATTCTCGTCCTTTGCCTATCTCATCGGAGCAGTGCGTTGCGCAGCACAAGTCATCTACATGTCACCAAAACGCGCAACAAGACAAAATTCAGAAGCTATCATACAATCCGCTGACTCGGCTTTCGATGCCTGGCTACTGCTACTTCCCAAGGATAAGAAGCCAGTGCTAAAGGCAGATGGGACCATTGATGAGCTGATGTTTCAAGCTCACTTGCTTATCCATGTGTATGTCCTTCCTTGACCATGTTGAGAGTTGAGCTGACTGTCTAGTGCAACTATTGGTATACACAGACCTTTATCAGATCTGAGATTTAACCCTATTGAAAAAGTATCCAGTTGTGCTCGAGAACCACCGTCAGATACACCGAAGCCAGATCTCATCAACGTACACACGACGAGGATTCTCAAGTCAGTCAACGCACAAATCCAACTATTAGCTTTGCCGGTGCGCCCGTTCCATCACACACCTTTCACAACATGCATGGTCAGCGAAGGAACTCTCGCGCTTCTCTCAGCTTGTACATACATGCTCAAAGACCAAGCATTGGCAGTAGCGCGAGATCAGATCCGCTTGACTATCGGATGTCTCAAGGCTGTAGGTGAGGTTTGGCCAAGAACGGCGAGGAATGTGAAAGAGATACAGACTATCGCTCGTCATGTTCTAGGGCTTGGCGGGACTAGTGGAGAAGTGGGGAGTACGCCGGGATCAGCGCATATTCCGAGTTTGATGCAGAGCGAGGGCGAGGGTAGCACGGGATCCCTTCCGACTATGGACCAGGATGATAATGTTTTTTCGTCTCTGGGGACTTTCGAGGATATCTGCGGATGGGTCAACATGGGTATAGAGCTGGATCCTAGCTGGATGGAAGGAAGGACAAGTTGAATGTTCAATAACCTATATACTTTCTACTCACGGATTTCTTACTATACTAAACCTCTACTTACAGCCTAAAACTCAATAACGATCTTGTAGCCCTTTCCACGCTGCCTGGCATGCTCCCAAGCCTCAATCGCCTGATCAAACGGATACGTCTTCACAGCCAGTGGCTTCAGCACTCCCTCATCAAACAACTTTGCTACCTCTCCCAAACGATGCACGTTCGGCGAGACAATAAAATACTTGTACTTCACGCCTGGTAGGGACAACGACTCGGAGGGTTCATCACCGCCAAAAGCCCATGATGGTGCAGGATCGCCAATCGTAATGATCATGCCATCAGATTTGACCGTTTCCCACGTCTTGGTCAGAACCTCCCCACCTACCGTGTCAAAGACAACATCGACGTCTTTCACTAACTTCTCCCAGTTTGGAGTTTTGTAGTCGACGATTTCGTCAGGTACATCGCCCAATAGATGCTTGTTCGTCTGGGATGCCAGTGCAATCACATAGGCACCAGTCACGTGTTTGACAAGTTGCACAAACTGCTGACCAACTGCGCCCGACGCCCCGGTCACCAAAATTCTCGTTCCAGTGTGAATTTCGGCATAGTCTAGAACCTCCCACGCTGTCAAGACCGGAATCGGCAGGGCAGCAGCTTCAGCGTGGGAAAGTGAGGCTGGCTTCAAGGCGACGTCATCGGGAGTGCAGACAACGTAGTCAGCTTGTCCTTCGCCTGTGTGCGCCGATAGAAACGCGTATACTTCTTGGCCGATTTGTAGAGGACCAGAGTAGTCAGGACCAAAAGCAGTGATGACGCCGGATATGTCGTGGCCGGGAATGCGGGTTGGACGTCGATATGTCTCTGGCCACATGATTTCATCGCCAGTGACTCCAGCGGCGTGAACACGAACCAGAATATCAGACTTGACAGGTTTGGGCTTCTCCATTGAGTAGTTAGTTGTGAGTTTTGGAGAAGATATGTCTCCGAGGATCTGGACGGCTTTCATCTTGAGGTTGGAGGAATTGTTTCCTGGTGTATAAAGTGTGATATAGACTAGTGAATGATACTGCTAAGAAGCGATATTATTCAAGCAGTCTTTTCCGCCAAGAAGGAACTGTTTATATGCTGATTGTCGCAGCAGACAATTGCGCCCGGAATTCGGAGGCAGAATGAATACCCGGATACCCGGGCGGGTCCGTAATTGACGGTTGCCCGGCTGATTCATCTCACCCGACAATCGGGAGGCCGACAGGTAGGATAATCATTGTCTGTCGTTTGAGGAAATTCTAATTTTCTATAAGTATAAGTAATTCATTCACCAAAGAATTGTATCTATCATATTCCTCATCTCTTGTTGTCTCCGACTCCTGTGTCTTCTCAATCGCATCGCAATAATCGTACAACATCTACTTCATCAAAATGGCAGACAATATTGAGGATAAGCGGTAAGCTGAGCGATTCACTCATCTGGGGTCAATCTAATCATTCACAGCAACCGCCCTCGCGAGAATGTCAAGATCCTCTACGACTACGAGCTCACCAACGCACCCGGCAAGTCAATCGTTGGTCTCGAGGTGCACTATGGTCCCCGCGGATGGACACCTCCCCATACCCATTCCGGTGCCACAGTCGCCGCCACTGTGATCAAGGGCCAACTTCTTAGCGGAATGAATGGTAACCCGCCCAAGGTTTATAACGCCGGGGAGAGCTTCAACGAGCTTCCTGGATGTCACCACACCGTCAGCGATAATCCCAGTGAAACTGAGGACACTACTTTCATCGCTGTCATGGTGATTGATACTGAGATTGTGAAGAAGGGATATCAGAATCTGGTGGTTCTTGACAAGGAATGGCAATAAATTTGAGATCGACGCTCAGCTAAAGGCTATGCTTAGTTCGCTTAGTCTATCTACAACTCGCTCTCATCTCTTCTAGGTGCAAAGCATCATACTCTACATATCTCACTCCCTGCTGCTCTGAACTCCTCCGAGTCCCCATATGCTATTGTTTAACCACAAAGAGCACTGAGAAGTGGGATAGTTCCCGCCCCGTAAGGAACCGCCTCTCCAACAATAGCTCCAAGCTTCTCAATAATCGACTTGCAATCTCCACCTGAAGTAATTCCAGTAAGACCATCAGTCTTGGCATTCATCCAACCATATTGATTGCAGTTGTTGTAGATAGCAGATTGATGAAAGTTGGGTGCGTATCCCTGCCAAAGCTTGACAAGTGAGCATGCTCGTCCTCCGCTTGGGCACGCGACCTCCTGAGACCAGACCTGGTTGCGCCCAGAAGCATCCGCAAGAGACTGCGCCAGAGCATTGCGCACATCCCACCCAGAGTAGACACCCTGTGCACTGACTTTGATGTCCTTCGAGTAGACGCCGGTGGCAGTGACGTACTTTGTACTTCGAGCCCAGTCACTGCCACCATCGCATCCTCCTTCGTGGCATAGGTCATATACGTGGTGGAATAGATCGTAGGGATTGAAGGTGCCAAGTTTGACAAAGTTCTTGCCGGTGGTGACGACAGTGTGTATACCTTTGCCGTGGCAGTCGAATCGCTTGGCATGGCTGGTCTTCTTTGACTCGACATAGTACGGGTTATCGAGAAGACGGTCCTCGCAGTTCCCTTCGGCGAGACATTTCTCAAGGATAGGACCGCCGAGCCAGAAACTGAAGTCTTTCTCGGGGGTTTGGGCTGGAGCGGGCGTGGCTGCCGTAAAGGCTGCTGAGCAGAGAACGAGAAGAGCAGTAGAGACGAGCATGGTGATGAGGGGAGAGAACTGAATAATTGTATGAGAGTGGCTGGCGATTGATGATCTGAGGATGAGGACAAAAGACAGATTAGTTAGGAGAAGAGTCACGTATTTATACACGTCCTCGAGATTGACCGCCATCATCGAAGTCGATATCTTTCCATCGCAATGCCATGACACGTGCAAGACTGAGCCCTTCATGAGGTTCTTCTTGAACTTTCCACTTTTAGACGAACAGCTACCTGAATACCGCTCTAGGACAAACATCGCTCCATTTAATCACGGTCCGGCCGAGTACAAGCCTCTGAATCAAGAAGCTCTTGGCAGGGGACGTAGTTCCAAATGGTCTCGACTACCGGGGGCGGCAAGGATCCGGCATTGACGCTTGGCAGAAGCTTGTTCCTAAGCTTGTATTTTCGCTTATTTTTAACTATTATTATGTTGCTTGCGGCCGATGGCCCTATCATGACTGTTGTAAAGTCGGCCGCTTAGGTGGAGTTGTTTTGCGGCCGACCTGGCCCACTTGTTGTTCTGTCAGCAGCTTACTTAAGGGACTTTTGCCGACTTTCCACGCAGGGAGAGGTAAAAATATTTCGGATGATTATCCTAAGTGACGAAAAGACTTTTGTAAATTCAGTGTATACTAGTATATCTTGAGACGAGTTCATTTTGGCACCTTGTTTTCGTATCACAACCTGCGCCCAGGATCCTTGCTGGCTTCAAGCGATAAGAAGCTTATCAATACAAGATAAGATAGTGGAACGTAATGTTGTGGAATTGAAAGTAACATCGCGTTGTTTATTTAACTTGACTTTTGTTTTTCAGCCTCACAAGTTCGCCTCGGCATCGCCGTCCTTAATCAAGCCCCAGGTTCAGCGAAAGAATAGGGCCCGTTAACTCTTCTAATTTACTATCGCATCTATCTTACTACAGTTATTAGGCAAGGGCAATAGATACTTGTTACCACCCTATACCTAAATCTCAGGTATTAAAATAATCTTATTATAAATAATAGTCAGAAAGTGCTAATACTGTATAATAACATTATAGTAGGATCTATCTTCAGTTTTCTCTCTTTAACTGTAGTATCTATTTCTTATCAACTAATAAGGCCATGACGGCTGTTAACCCACTCTCCTATGGTAGATGAAAAATATTTCTAAACCTCAAAGCGAACAATATCTGCATAAAAACACCATCGATTCTTACCAGAACCTAGAAGCTTTCAAATATCAAACGTTATGACTCAATCCTTTCTTATCTTTAACCTGGCGACAATCTTTATCTTCGGAAAAATAGCGTCTATCCTTCGCTAAGACGCCATTCGCATTGATGACGAACGATACAGAGCGTTTATGAAAACAATAGCTGGGAATCAGTATCCCTGTGTTATACTCAGAGGAGCACGTTGCCAAACTGTAAAAAGATTATAAAGTAATCCCCTTCATAGCTAACCACCCTTTTGCCTCAGTCAGTCCCATCAAAGATGTCAGACATATCTTGCCAAAAGCATCGATGTCATCTTTCTGAGCATCGTGTATTATTGTCTCCAAGAAATTAGGTCTGTGATTCATTAGCTAGAAACACAACAAACAAGATTCAATATTGACTTACGCGCTGACATTTATCACAAAGTGCTTTTTATCTCGCCACGCCAGTGCAAAATCAACAGCATCTTGAGTGTTCCATAGATGCGCAGACATGGTGACAGACCGATTCACAGCAATGTTTTTATTCTGACCGCATCTATTACCCGACTCGCCTTTCATGAAGTAATACGTCAACATAAAGAAGTTTATCATGCCTAGGGTTCTTTTGGCTGATTCTTGGAAGATTCAATTTGTCCAGAAGGCTTGGGCTGCTGAGACGGGAAAGAGGGGTATGAGATCTGAGGATTGACTCGGTGAATCTGCTGCTTCGTCGATGGCGATGTGGGGAATGAGGGCGTTGGATGCTTCTTCGAGATGGGGCATGGTTGCTTCGTAGATGGCATAGGTTCGGGCGTCGTTGTCTAGTAGACGAAGTATTTGATATATGAAGAGCGCTTGTGCATATGCCAAAGTTTCCATTGAAGAAGCTGGTGGAGGACTGGCGAGGAGTTCCTGCACCCGGCTTTCCACGTTGTCGCGGATGACTCTGGCGTTGAGATGATTCTTTGCTGCATGGAGTGCAGCAGAAGATACCGCATCTATCCTCAAGTGTTAAGCTTACGCTATTGATACACAGAATGAACTCACGTTGCATAGACTTTGGCATCCCATCATCGTATAGATGCGCATGACACCAAGGCGTTTGATTCTCCGAAACCATTTGTGACGGACCCTTCAGGATTGCATCCAGAGGATACTGGAGCCTTGATGTGATTGCTCTAGTGACCTGGGGAATAGTAGCAAGCTGAGACCGATTCAGCGCATTTTGAGCTGTTGTTGAAAGCCCTGGCGTAGACCAATTGGAAGCATCGCACTCCAACGAACCTTGGAACAACTGGTCTGTAAAATTGTCCGTTGTTTCCAAAATCGAATCAAGTATTCCAAAACATGATGGCGTAAGTGAGCCCTCAATCTCAGATACTGGGATCGCAGGCTGTATGTCGCTGGTGCTCTCGCGCAATGGAGGCGCATAAGGATAGTGGCAGTGGATATTGCGCTGAGAACAGCGCTGACACGTGGGACGCGCTAGATCGCATCTCCGGCGCGCTTTCTTGCAGGCCTGACAGGACTTCCGTCGCGCTGGCGGGTCGTTGCGTTCCATTGATGATGGGTGGGATGAAAATTTGGTGGTTGCGATGAAGTAAGATGGTGGAATTGCGCTGAGGGACCTGAGGGCAGCGGAACTCCGCTGATCGGCCCCACAGGAGCACGACGGAATAGCGCGAAGAGGAGGAGCTGTAAAGATATAAAAGAACTCAACTGCCAACAAGGAAAAACAATACTTTTATATCATTGTCCATCGAACATTCAATCATTACCATGTCTCTCCCAACTGTCTACGTCGTCGCCGCTACAGGCATCCAAGGCTCAGCAGTATGTCGCCACCTCCGCCAATCAAACTGGTCTGTCCGCGCTACAGTGCGAAACACCGAATCCCCCCAAGCGCAAGCCCTCGCTAAAATCGGTGTCGTCTTGAACCCTGGCGACTGGGATGACGAAGAGGCCCTCACTGCCGGCTTGACCAGCTGCAACAAGCTGTTCCTCGCTCTTGGGCCCAATTACAGCAATCTCGATGATGAGCGTGTTTGGGCTCAGAGAATCATCGCACTGGCTAAAAAGGCGGGCGTTGAAGATATTGTGTACTCGAGCTCGATTAGCGCTGATGCTCCTGAGAGGCGCACTCTTCTTCCTCCAGGTCACCTACTCTTCAAGAGCCTCTTTGTCAAGAATGTGATTGAAGGGCTCGTTCAACGTGCTGGATTCAGGCACTGGACCATTATCCGCCCAGGCTTCTTCATGTCCAATCTCCTCGCCCCAAAAGCTCGCATCTACAGCGACTTATTCGAGCATAACACCTGGTTAACCGCCCTAAAGCACGACACCAAGCTCAACCTCGTCGATCCACAAGATATCGCTAAGTTCACCTTTTCCGCCCTTAACGACCCTGGAAGATTTAATGGGGAGGGAATTGACCTTGTCAGCGAGAGGTTGACGGCCGTGCAGATGATGGCGATTCTGGTTGATGCAACTGGGCGAGATTTGAAGGCTGAGTTTTACACTGATGAGCAAGTGGCTCAGGCTATCGATTCCAATCCTTTCATCGGATCGCAGGTGTTCTTGAGAGATGGTGAGAAATGCGTTGACGCTGAGAGGGTCAAGACCTGGGGAATTGAGTTGGGTCGCTTCAAGGAGTTTTTGGTCCGCGAGAAAGATGCTGTGGCTGAGACCTTCGCCCTGTAGGGCAACCAACAGATCGGATACAAGTTCGGATGTCAGCGGTGAGACGTGGGAAGCAAAATTGTTAAATAGTATACAGTTTTAAGACTCTATGTAATAGAGATTTGATGATGGATATTACTCATGTAGCTCCTAGAATCATGATACCATCCTTCAGCGTATCGCGAATTGTGTCGGGTAACCTTCATCGTTGCTCTGGCATAAAACATCAAGACTGTAGCCCACAGACATTCAGCATTTCCATGACTTCGAGCGTGCTTAATGTTATTATCCTCTCAGCTCTAATTCTGTTGGTAGGTGGAATGAAAATACAATTATGCAATGCAGGGATGAGAAATTTCTCTTGGCACTTCTGAGTGGCTAGATAACGAGAGAGAACTACGGCGGGTGAGACATCGGCCGCTCCTTATTTTCATGCCTCAAGTAGTCGCCATAAATTATCTTCTTCATTTCTGTGTAACTCTCATCCCATCAGAAGCCGTATCACAATCCACGATGAAAATACACATTCTCTTTGCAGTTCTGCTAAAGGGCGTAGCTACCTCCCCGGAGAACGACGTTGCGCTTGTAGAAGCAGAGACATATTGTGTAACCTATCTCTCTACATACCTCGCTGCGATTCCGAGTAACAATGGGCCCTTTAGTTCCATCAATGGAGATGCCAATGTACCGGATACGGAAGATGGGGAGACCGGCAGGTTCCCCTTGGCTCCGTCAATTCGCCCGACATTCGGGAGAAACACTTCCATTGCGACTACAATCACAAGTACATCGAAATTATACCTCAGTATTCGAAAGAAGAAGCTAATGAAAATGAACAGACTCGATTCTGATACAGGTCAATGAAGAAACTTCTAAACTGGTAGAATTTGTGTCGAGGTCTTCGTCCGTGGATCTACCGCTATCAAGCGACGAAGCACTTACAAGTCCATCAGCCCTACAAACGCCCTTTTGCCAATCGACACTTGCAGTTCCCACAACAACCGTTATGGTCGAACCACGAGGGCAAACGGTGATCTTCTTTATCCAACTCCCCGACGACGATCGAAAGCGCAGCATCAATAGAAGAGAGGCCGGGTAGAGACTTCTGTAGTCACTTCATTGCTAGTTGTCTCTAGCGTTGTATTATCCACAGGCTCAGTTGGTGTCCTTTCAGAAAATGTTTCCAGGGTGGCTGAGGTTCTGGAAGGGTTATCTGAGATGGCAGTAGACTCGAAAAGCTCAGTTGACGATGATTCCTATAGTAATATGACGGAGGATGCCAAGGTTGTTCCATCTACCTCGAGTAACGTAGTAGACGCCACGTCTTCAATGCTGGACAGCGTTCCATAAGATGATTTGGGGCCGGGCTGTATTTTTGTCAATCCGAAAATGGAGGTGGGTGATTCCACAGCATCAGAGGAGAGGGTGGTAGCTTCTTGCTCTTCGACGCTGCTCTCTTGAGCTGTTGCCAGGGACGACGTGGAGCTATTGTCATCAACGCCAAGAAGTTTACCATTCTGGCATCAAGAAACTAATAGGAATTTAGTATTTAAAGACCTCCAAATAATGAGGTAGCGTGCCGTCATAAATACCAAGGGTGACTGGAGTACGTCCAGCTGGCGCAGACGTAAACGTGATATAACCCTGTACACCAGAGGTTTGACAAAAGCCTGCTTTTCTATTCAGCAACACATGATTCTGGAAGCTAAGCGATATCCTTCTAGTCGAAGCAAAGTCCTTGGTAGTGGTATCTGGCGGCGGAGTTCCTTGGCTATCCAGCTCTTGGAAGCCTTCACCCGAACAATAGATAGGATTCCCATTTTTGAAAATCTTATCTTCGGCGAGGTTGAAGCCACCGGCAAAAGTACAGGTATTGTCGCTACGGTCACTTACAAACCCTCGTTGAGGAAACAACTGTCCAGACCACTAAGGCTCCAGATATTTCAACTACGACAGTCGACGCTTGTGTAGCAGATATTACCTCAGCGGGAGGCTCGCCTCCTCTGCAAGATCGTATCAATGACCGTGAAGATTTCAACGTGGTTACAGTTAGCCCGTACAGTGTGTAAGTTCATCGAGACACCAGGGTCATTAATATCAATCAGCTAACACGGTAAGGTACTGTGACAACGGTTAAAAAGCGATGGGAGTATCGCATCCCTACCGGCTGGCCCACTGCAAGACCTACAAAGAGATAGCTCATCCGCCGTCAAGATCCCGATGCGACTACTATCTTTCCCATCGAGACGCCTGTTTATGCTACGTATTGCGACTCAGCTGAGGACTATCACGATGCTTGCTCTAGCGCTAGTGTTACTGCTATAATGACAGCTCTGCCGATACCTACTAAAACGAGGACAGATGAAAAACTTGCGTGTCGTGCTGTGTGGATGGTGAAGAGGGCTGGTGAAGGATGATTGGGAAGTCAACCACATGCTGGGATGGAGATACTTTTGAGGGCCTATATTTCCTGTTAAACATGAAATCCGTGATCACAGTCTGAGTATTTGTTTTTGAAAGAGACTACTGGCGAGAAGCGTCGCCGCTTTTGCTGAGGGTAGCTCAGGCTCGCCTCGGATGCGGCTCAGTCAGTCCTCACCCCAGCTCAGGTGTCTCCACCTAAAGAACCAAAAGTACCTTCCACGCAAGTATGTGTATACGAAACCATAACCCCACAACTCCAGTCAAGCGCCTCATCATTGACCTGGAGGTCCCAGCGGAGGAGTCCGGGAGAGTCTCATCGCATCTAGCATGTGGGAGAGCTGCCTTGCCGAGAATTTCTACTACTCAAACTGATGTTATATTCGGTCTAACTTCGATATGTATATGCTGCCAAGTCTACTAGTATTAGAATAGATACTCAAAACCAGTTCTTAATAATCTGTGTTGGTGATACTGCGGCAGGATCTGGCCTGGGAGGCTTATCTTGCAGGGCAACACTTTTGAGAATGACTAATTGGAAGACATCACTCACAGAAATCCTTACTTCGTTCTTGGGCCATTAAACTACGTACCTCAAATGTGCCTGCGTTATTAGGTCTCGTGGCACCGTCATGGAAGGGGTTGAGGTTTGAGACAATATGTGCATCAACCCTTTGCCTGATTGCTCATCTCCCGCGAACCCAGTATCAGCAACATCGGCCTGAGGTATCTTGCGCAAAACCTCTGCAGTGGGTGTTTTATAGTTTCTTCATTGCCATCCAGTTGTCAAGGCTTCGACCATGTCTCAATGTTCAAACCGATCATGGTGATTGTACGACAAATGCCACCAAATAGCTCTAAAATGTTGCCATGAGCGGCATAATTAGACACTTTCTCCATCGGCGTGGCGATAGAAGGAGACAAGATTGGGTGAAGACGATAGGTCCCTAGGAGACGGAGCACCTGCGGACAATTACGTCCTGTAGAGCAAGATGAAAGTTCAAACATCAGGTGTAGCAGAAATATATCGAACCAAGCCGCCGCGGAAGAGCGAGACTTTGCCCAGTTGCTTGTCCCGGCGTCTTATCCTGGTTCTTCCTTGCCTCAACCCGTCATTCTACCCTCTTCACCAAGCATCCTCCTCCATGATGAAGTGCCTTGCCCTTGTGTTCCTAGCCGCAGCTTAGGTGTCTGCTCAAGGAACGTGGCCCCCTTCATGCCAGGATGTCGAAGCCATTAACAAGTCTACATGAATCGTCTCAAGCCTCCTCCGTGTCTCTATACAATTCCGATCTCCTGTAGCCCCGTCTTCCCGTCCTCCGGCCAAGCCTGGCCCGCCATGACTCCTGACAAAAGCACCGATTGGCTAAGACGTGTAGCTATCTGTTCCTAGCTGTGGCCGGAGCGCGATCGGAAAGTCACAGCTGGATAAGATGGCTATGGAATCGCCAACTTGGACACTTTGACCCAGAGCAACCATTCAGTTTCGAGTGGTAAATAACCTCCTACTAGAAGGTGCCGGCGAATGAATAGTCGGAGAGGAATAGCTTTCTGCTCGAGTGTTGTGTAAGACCTCTTTCCTGATTAAGGTGGAGCGAGGTCAGAAGCCGGGTCATAATGGTCAGTTTGCTGCTTGCAGTCGAGGCTGCCCTCGCAAGATTAAGACCAAAGGCCAGGTAAGGTGATCGGCCAGGGCGGCTGCTAACATTACAAAATAACTATCCGTTCCACAATCGCATCTTCAAACCACTGAATCCTCTCCTCGTCCAGTCCAAACACACCCAGGCGCCGGAATGTCCCATCTGTTTGACGCAATAGAGCTAAACCATCTGTATCGGTAACCCTCAAACACCAAGTCGACATCGGCTGATCGATGACCATGCTCGGGTCAACCACGTCTATCTCGCAGTACCCCAACTTCAGCTCAAAAGCTCTCTCCGAGGGGTCCAATAGCCTGTCGTCTTCGAAAAGATAGATGACGACCGATTTTGCATCATGATGCCAACGGCACGCCATTCGCCAGCCCTCTTTCAAAGGTCCCCTTATCGTGAGGCGCCCGTCACAGACCTCTCCATACCCGTTAAGACCCTTGGGGCTTAGGACAACATCCTCAACCACGCAGTGAGCGTGGGCATCTTGACCCCACCAGCCGCTCTGGTCTCCGAAGCACACAATTCGCCCCTCTAGCGAAGCCCAGGACCAAGATGGCGCCCGGTACGCGGGCGTGCGTTGAGCCTGCTCACCTACACCCCATAGGAGACACCATGGCAAGTCTGCCTTCCACATCCCGATGAGGTAGGTATCATCTGGCCTTGTCTTTTGAACATGCTGGGCGATACCGGAGAGAGCAGGCAACTTGTCTGTTGAGAACGACAAGGTGCGCTCTGTAAAGGCGTTGACGATGAACTCCCATGTCAACACAGCGTCAGATCGATGACGTAGGAGCTCTGGTATTGGCTTTGGGATGGGGTTATACCGCTGAGGCTTACGAATGGGCCTTGGGAGCCCTAGGAAGTGTTCCTGTTCCTGTAGTAGAGCTCCGTTCTCGGTCTTGTACCCGGATCTACATTCCCAGGTGATCTGCTGTCTCCCGAAAGACA